CGATGCGTTTTGCACACCGACGGTCTAATCTGGGTAACCATAATCGGGATTTATAGAAAATAACAAGCCTTCCTTTTTGTGGCAACTTAGATTAATTTCCCTGCTCGGCCTGCATCCTCTGCATGCCAGGCTGCAGAAGCCAAAGCCCTTTTGACCATCAGCCGTCATGGTTCGGTTTAGGTTTAGACAGCCTTGGCGGGCTCAGGATGCAGCTGAAGCCTGTGGAAGACTAGGGCTAGGGTTTAGGGTCAACTCTTGCAGCAGAGGCTTTACAAGCTGAGGCCTTGGATCTTTGAACACCATAACCTTAGATGCTAAACCCCAAACTGTCTGAGAGATGGTGGCAGAGCCCAGAAGGAAGAGGAGTTCTGCCTGTTGCAGGATGCGCAAGGGCCCATCTCCACGCCGAAAGCTTCTGTTTAGGGACTTTGGTTTAGGGGTTTAGAGTTTAGGGTTCGGGTTCAGGGTTTAGGGTCCACTTGTGAACCCTTAGGCATAAGACAGAAAGTGCAAGTCAACCCCAGACACTTCTGTGGATGCGGGGCAGACCATGCGGGTAGCGGCTTCAACCGCTTGGAACCTGAGCTTAGGGGTTTAGGGTTTAGGGCTTCAGGTGTTTAGGGTTTCATAGACATTTGGCACTGAACCACACGCCTTGATGGGATCGCCGTAAATAGCCGAGCAGGAGGTCAAGCAGACCGGATTGCGATCTGAGGCAGCCAGACTGAGAGTCAAAACAGCACAGAGGGCGCCGAAGACCGTGAGCGGATTTGATGTGGACCTCTGCCATACTCAGGAGTGGAGGCTCAGTTTCGGCACAGTCGGTGCGCTGGTCTGTCAGTTTAGGGGGTGGGGGGGGGTCTTGATCCGATCCGGCCATTGAAACTCCGCCCCGAAACTCGGCACCGAAACTGTCTCCGAGAACGCCCTCAAACTCACACCTCGGGATCATAGTTTGCTGCCTCCCACAGGTGCCAGAGAACTCACGGCATTGAAGAGAAGGCAGCAACTCATACGGCTCAGGGCAGGAGGGCACGTATGGAGACTTCGAGACTACTACTGTATCGAAATACTTCAAGATCCGTCTGTGCTGCGGCTTGGTGAGCCAAAGAAGCGTTTCGAACGTGCAGCACAAGACCTTTCAAGAATGAGGAGCTGGGCGTCTGGGCGTTCCGAAATCGCATGGGGCTACTTTGAGTCCTCATGATCCGTGATCCCCCTTCTCTATCTTCGGGACTCTGTTCGGCGGAGAATTCAGCCGAGACTCTTCCTGAAACCTTCGACCCGGCGAGGGCAGAGACTTTGCTGTAAGACTCGCCCGCACCTTCTCCAGCCGAATCCTGCAGACACGCCTCTGCAAGCCACTGGCACGTGCTCATAGGTGCAATTCTGCGCTTTCTCCGTCCCGGTGGGCCAAAGAAGCGTCGCAGCAACAAGCGTGCAGCATAAGACCTGTGAAGTTGCAGCGTTGACTCCAAACCGCTCGTCGGGATTCTAGACTGGCATGCTGGGATTTTGGAGGTCCCCGATCATGTCGGGTAACACAAGAAGGGAGTCTTGCATGCAACGCAGCACAGAGCAATTTCCTCCCTAGCCCGCACGAACTTGGGGAAACTTTGGCTTCAGCTCTCCTCTAAGCCCGGGGGTGCACGGGCTTGTCAGCTCAAGGCTCTGCAATTCCGAGGAAGGTGAACAGCCCAACATCGCTTCACCGTGCCTAGAAGTAACAGAAGATCACAAGACTGAACCCAAAATCCCTTCTGCTTCGTTTCCAGGATTCACAAGATAGGATCGCTTCTGAAGTTCGTGCAGCTTGGGACTCGAATGTCCACAAACAGCCAGTAAACCCCTGTAAACCCTGGAAAACAGAGATGAAACCACCCTTGACCGACCGACGCAGGTGCTCAACACGTAACTTGCGCTCGCTTTGCAGCCCACAGTTAGACGGCCTAAACGCCCTGATCCTGCACTGCATACATGGTTGCCCCAGATCTGAAAATCGATGCCACTGGATTCCACGAGGCATGATTTGAGAGTGTTACAGAGAGCTCCTGCTCGTAAATGCATTCAGGCTACAGCTGAGGGTTAAGATTTAGGTGTATACGGCATCACCTGCGCTGTGCATTATGCACTCTGCATTCAAGAACGGTTGATGATATAAATCCTGCATTACCCATAATAAGGAATATACCATAATTCCCAATTTTTCGGGTCCTTAAGGTAATGCAGGATTTATATCATCAACAGGAAGCACTGAGGTGCAAGGTCACTGCACGACCCAGTCCGCCTCGGTCCAGTTTGGACGGCGCTGCTTGGCCAAGCAGTAAATCCCGAAGCCTAGAAGAAGGGGCACCAGAAACCTACATGCTAAACAGAGTTTAGGGCTTAGGGTTTAAGGAACTTTTCAGCCCTACACCCTCAACCCTAAACTTCGGCTGTCGCTTGCGGCCTTGTGGCAGTTTAGGGTTTAGGGTTAGGGCCTAGGGGTTTATGGGTTTGGGGTTTAGAGCTTAGGGCCTAAGGGATTTAGGGTTTAGGGTTTACGGTTGCCGTTGTTGGAAGGCGGAACAACAGTATCTGATCTCGGCGTCGGTCGCAGGATGAGTCAGGCGGCCAGGGTAGGAGGCCCCTCGGCCATCGTTTCAGCATCCACCATGCCTTCGGCGAGGCCAGGCTGGAGGGTCTGCGAGGAACACCAGATAGCTAACCAGTAGTTTTGGGGTTCCCTTGGCTCTTTAGCTCCTTATTTGATAGGGATTATCATCATCCCTGGCTCCTTAGCTCCTCCAATATCAACGGTTAGAGAGAACAGCTGGTGCTACAAGGGTATGGGGTTGCCGAATGCAGCTGAAGTGGAGGAGGAGAACTGACTCTTGCCTTCTCTGTTTTGCCTCCACCTAGGGACCCAGGCCCTAGGCAATGGATGAAACAAGGTCATTGCAAGTCCCTCCTGAAGATCTCACTGCATGGGACTCTGCCACCCACCAAGCAGGAAGTGCCTCTCACGACTTCAACGCTCAGATCAGCAAGGAAGGCACGGGGAAAGCCCAAGAGTAGGTGCAAAGGGCGCCAAGCAGCGGCGGCAGCTTGGGTTCTACATTTAGGATGTGGGGCTTATAGGAATTTGGGGTTTAGAAGTCTCAGAACTGCTTTGCTTGGCTCTTTTGCGAGTTCGGAATCCGGAATCCTAAACCCTGGCCCCGGCCCAAGTCCCCAGATCCGGATACCTCAACCTACGATCCTTTAAGCCCTGCGATGTGCTGAGCCTCTCCCCGGTGCCTGGTGGAGTCGTGGAGAAAAAGACCCTGCTGACCCTTCCCTTCTCAGGAGGGTGGGCCGCGACCTAAAACCCTTAAAACCCAAAACCCTGCATCCGAACCCTTCGGCTCAGGTTCTAGCCGGTGGCTTCAGGGAAGCAGACCCCAAACCCTCAAGTGTCAACCCTAAACCCTAAACCCTCAAAGGTGACGTGGACTTGACTCTTCTTACAGCCCAGGGCCCCTGAACTCAGCACTTCAACACGTCTCCGCAACCCGAGAGCCTCAAAGGCCCCTTCTGAGGGTTTAGGGTCTAGGACTGCCTCAGGCGTTCGAAACTTCTGGCTTGGCCTTTTGAGCTGAAAAGCAGGAAAGTGAAGAAAGCGAGAAGCTTTCGTGCGGGGCCTCATGGGCTACTGTCATTGTAAGCTTTGGAGCAGCTTCGGCCTGAACGTCTGGCTCCGCGTGGTCTGTGTCACGGAAGGCTACATGGCAGTGTTAGACAGTCCTTAGGAGTCTGAGGTATCCATCGAAGGCTTCTAGGCAAGCCTTTCCAGGAGCACTCCGTCGAGTGCTTGTCCCCGACCCTTGCCACGGCGTGGGTGAAGGGTTTTGCTCGGGGTCTTTAGAGCTCTGCGTTCAAGCGTTGCCAGCACCTGTCGTGTAGGCTGTTGGGCTTTAGGGCTCGGGGCCTACACTGTGTAGTCGCGGTTCGCCGGAAAGAGGAACCTGAGTGCAGCCTGAAACCTTGCAAGATTTCAGCTGCAGCTCCCGGCATTTGGCCGGAACACCGCCCTGGGTATCCCAGGTTTCAGCTGCGCTTTGGGGTAAGCTGGGTGCTCGATCTGTCAACACACATGCCCAGAACTGCAGCGGGAGCCATGCTTCCGCTGGTGAAGGAGAGAAGGCGCCTTTGCATTGCCTTGCGAAAGATGCTCAAAAGCACGTCCCACCGAGGTGAACAGAAGTAGTTGATGGCAGAAGCCGTTCCAACCCTAGCATGTTCTGAACTGGAGGGAAGCCGACAGCATCTTTTATATCACAAAGTTGGATTGCAACTGCAGACATGCAACTACGTTCCACAACGGATGCTGCCGTATTGGCCACCACCTCTTTCCGAGGAGCCTCCTGCGCCTTGCTGTGGTAACTGAGTAAAGGAATGCTCAAGACTGAGCTTTCAAACCGTTGAAACGAACTCTAAGTTTCAGAGGAAGTCGTCGACTTGCTGCTCGGAATCCCAGCATCCCGAAACCGCACAGCCATGGGAAATGGGCGAGTTAACGATGACATCGCCTGTCGAGGCACAAGTACATCCTGCCCTAACAATGCAAGCGGGTTTTCCGGCAGCAGTGCTCCAAGAATCTGGACGATTCACACAACAAGTTCCTGAGGCACCCAGTCCCTGGCCTTTCGATCCCAGAAGAGCCAGCAGAGAATCTAATTCTAGCTCCAGCCACCCTCGCGATACGAGAGCAGCCCACAGACGCCGACAGATTGGCAAGCGTGAGCAGGGGATGTTTCTGTTGCTTGCGACAGGAAGGGGCAGTGCAGACGCAGGCCTTTTCAGCAAAGCCACTAGGAAACAGCTCCCATGCCAGCCGGAGTCTTTAGCTTGGCCAGGGCTTCAGAGCGGGTGGCCGAAGGCCTCGGCAGTCGTCGAGGCCCTGGCAGTCGCTCGAGATCTCACAGCAACTGATGCAAGGGACAAGATTGGCTCCACCGTAGCAAAGAAGCGCTGCGCCGATGAGGGGGTGCAGCGCACGCTCAGAGGCGCATCATCCGTCAGGTCTTCAGATCCTACCGCGAGGCGTCCGTGCTTGGGCTGTCATGGAGCTGGCCTCGACTACCTCAGGGAAGGGAGTCCTGACGCACAGATCTTTAACACGAGGGCCTGTGCCTTTCGAGCTTGAAATGAAGCTTGAAGGTGCTCCTGAAAAAATGCAACACAAGGTGGCGGCCGTCGCAAACTGCGAACACGGCATGACGCAACACATCGTCCAAAACGGTGACTTCAAGGCCACTCCACCAAGGCGTCTCAGGTCAACCGGGCACCATGGAATGCTTCGGAAGTCGACCACGATCTCATGCCAGGAGGAATTGTAAATTTTGCAGCGAGCTCCCAAAGAACTCGAGACTCTGCAACTACTGCACCAAGAGCCCCCTAAACCCCAAACCCACTCCGAGCCCTTTGCTCCGAACCTGGCTTCCGTGTCACCACACCTCTTGGGCCTTTAAAGCAGTTCCAAAGAGAGCTAAAACGGGGCGGCTGAAGGCAGCTCCAGAAGCCCGTCGCAAGGATGCATGCCTACTTTACGGCTTAGAGCCCTTGGGGCTTAACGGGTTCAGGGTTCAAGGAATTTTCCTCACCCCATCATTGCAGATTTCGGAGGAAGCGCCGCATCCTCAAGGACTGCCGGTTCTGGACAGGTGTCCAGCCACTCCGTCCCTGACCGACGGCTGGAACGCTCCTGCACTGCGATTGAAGGTTGAGTCAAACACATGGCGTGTAGGGATTCGGCTAATTTTGTAGGAATTCGGCTTTTGGTTTTGGGGGTTGCGTTAACGTTGAGGGTTTAGGGTTCCTCGACCCGAAAGGCCTGAACCCTAAATGCCCTGAAACCCTGACACCCAAACCCACCCAGCGCACTAAATCCTTCAACTCGAAAGCTTCGGCACTTGTTTATCTGAGCCCTAAGCCCCTAAACTCTAAAACCTGCACCCTCAAGGCTTAACCCTACCTGGACCCTAAAGAACCTACCTTTCAAGGGTTCCTTATTATGATTTCCTTACCCTAGGGATCTAAGGACCCATATTTTAAGGCTTCTGGACCCAAAGACCATACTATATGAGGTTTTTGGGCGATTTTGCCTGCGGGTTATGTCAGTCCTACTTGTTGAACATCGTGGGGAACTAAAGGTTGGCCTTTTTAGGGTTTATAGGGAATATACAGGGACTATACTACCCAAAAAAGGTTAAAGGTTACTCTACTACTCGGAAGTCCTTCAAACTGGTAGGGTAGGTTCTTCAGGGCTCAGGTAAACTCTGAATCCCATCTCAGGACTGAACTGACCGAGACCAAGCTTCCAGAGACTTCACCCCGAGGCTTCCCGAAGATTAGGGCTTGGGCTTTGGGGCTTTGGGGTTTTGGGGCTTTGAGGCTTTGGGTCTCTGGGGTTTGGGGTTTAGAGCTTTGGGGTTTGGGGGTTTTGGGGTTTTGGGGCTTTGGGGTTTACGTTTGCCTTGGTGTTGAGATCTTGAGATTCGGAGCTCAGGATTTGGAGTTTAGAGCTTCGGATTGCTTGGTTTGCGATGTCATGGTTTGGGGTTGAGCGGTGCATTCCCAGCTTTCAAGCTTACGAGCCTGACCCAGAGAGCCCAATGTCCCTTAAGGAATATATGGCTTAAATCACCATATGAAGCCCTATATAATTTAAGCCATATTCCTTAATTAAGGGGTCTTGGGTTCTCTGAAAAATAGGCACTAAGCCCACAAACGAAACTTCCGGGCCTCATCCACGAACACAGTGGAGAAAGGCCGCACCTGACACGCTTGAAACAGGGATTAGGGTTAGGGTTTAGGGTTTCGGGATTAGGGTTTAGGAATTAGGGTTTATGCTTCTGGGTTTCGGGTTTTATTTGGGCTGAGACTGGCGAAGGGTTTGGATTGAAGCGTCGGGTGTATTTGATTCAGCACAGCGAGAGCGCGTTTTCCCGGAGCCCGAAGCCTGAGACCCAAACCCGAAAAGCTCTATAAATCCCAATCCTCGTCTCCAGAAGCCAGGGGTTTATCGCCCATAACCGGTCAAGTTGAGGATTGGCAAAAAAACGGGGCTCGAAACGGAAGCTCTGACATAGCGTTCATCACAAGTCTAATCTGGGATCCTAGATCCCACAAAACCCTAAACCCTAAACCCTACTTTTCAACTTCGGAACTCGGGAGCTTCTGGCAAAAAGCCGGCAACCCGATGCCATCTCTGCGCCTTACACACCGAACCCGAAAAGCCTGGAGCCAAATTCGCCTCGGCCCCCGCCGGAGATCCTTTTCCGAGAGACCCCTGACCGCCCCCTCGCCCAACTTCGTTTCCTCCAATGGGTTTGGTATTTCGCTTACCATTTTCGGCCCTCCCCCCCCCCCCTCCGCCTCTTCCCCCCCCCCCTTCCTTCCCCGCCCGTCCAACCCCTGCTCCTCTGGCATCGCAATGCTGACCCTCCGATGCAATGGCATGCGAGCTTCCGCTTGCATCAGGGGCTGCGCTTTCTCCCTATACGCTACAGGTTTAGGGTTTCAGGTTCAAGGTTTAAGCTTTGAGGCTTGGGGTTTAGAGTTTCGGGTTTAAGGCCCGTGTGGGCCTTGGCAGGCTTCAAGCACAGCCTGGCCGAGGCGGACGGCGAACGACGCGAAGCATTTAAAATTCAAACCACTGCGAAAAATCTCGGCATAAACCCGGACAGATGGGCTTAGGGTTTAGGAGTTCAGGGTTTAGGAGGTTTCTTACTGGAGCGACCCCTAAATGGGGTTTGTCAATCATACGAGAACGGACAAGCACCCTTGAAAGCAACAGGGAGCCGAGCCTAGTCTGCACCAAGAAAGCGATGCAGGCTAGGAGGCTGCCTTTTGCAGAGTTTAGGGCGGATCTTGCAAATGCAAGGGAGAGTGGATGCTCCGTTGTCTGAGGTTTGAAGGTCTTTGGGCTTGGGGGTCAAAGCCTGGAACCTGAACTTGTTGACGCAAGGCATTCCTTACTTTGGGTCATGCAGGATTTACATCATCAACCGTTCTTCATAGTCCAAAGCCGTAACCTCCTCCCTTTTCGGGGAAAGCCTGATCCCATGGAATGGAGTAGGCGGTGAAAGTTTGTGGACTTTCCGACAGCAAGCCCGCACGGACTAGGCTGTTGCAAGCATCCCCAACAACAGACCAAGAGGATTTCCCAAAAACCGACTAAGGAAAACCAAATCAGGATCCGGATCCTCCAAAACCCGATAAGGATCCCTAAGACCTAAACCCCCAACGTCGGAAACCTTATTAAGCTCAAGAACAATGTCTTCAAAGCCAGGGATTCATAACAACCCTCATTTCGATATGAGGCTGTTCAGCGGCTGGCAGCTGGTGATAGAGGGCCGCGGATTTGGGCTCGGAATCTAGCATGCATCACTACTACCCTCAAAATACTGCCCAAAGACTCATTAAAGCCTGGACGAAAAAAACATCCCAAGCCCTGAATGCTCTGAACCCTCGGCCCTAAATCTTAAACTCTCTAAAGGCTCCTTGAACAGTGTAGGGTTCAAAATGTCCGAAGGTGTGTTGTTGGTCTAGCGTCTCGCTTTAAGGTTGAAACCCTAAACCCCAAACCTTTCAGGATTCGACCCCATACAGGCTAAGCTTCGAGGGTGTGGAAACCGACTTACATGGAAGTCTGTGCAATCTGTATCTACTATAATTCAGCGATCCCCTTGTTGTATCTTGCTCAAGTCGTTACACCATGCTGACTTCTGGGTTTGGGCTGTGGGGTTTACGGTTTAAGGTACCTCGACAACGTGTACAACCTTTGGGGACTAGGTGTTCCTACCATGCTTGGTGGATCATGGGGCTTAGTAAGAATGGTTATAAGTCCCTTAGTTGGGGTTATCAGCAACTATAGGTATAGCTACCTTAGTAATAACCCTAGATACTAACCCCCATGATCCTTTAAGTACCCTTGTGTCACGGTAGAGACTGACTGCGTTCTCCGCTGTCTTATGCGTAGCTCAAAACCTTAAAGTCGAAACCCAAACCCTAAACCCACCCTAAACCCTAAACCCTATACCCTAAATCCACTAAACCCACCCTAAGCCCTAAACCCCAAACCCTAAACCCACCCTAAATCCTAAACCCTAAATCCCCTAAACCCACCCTAAACCCTACACCGGTAGCCTCAGACGCGCGCGGATGCTCCACACCTAAAGCCCGACACCAGGCCCCCCCCAAGCCCTAAACCCCTCAACTCTGAACCTTAAACCCCGAGCTCTGTAAGCCCTAACCCTAAAACCCAAACGCTGAACTCTAAACCCTCAATCCTAAACCCTGAACTCTTAGACCCTAAACCCTGGACTCTTACACCCTTAAGAAGAAAGGAATCCCCAGCTGAGCATGGCGACCGGTGCTCGAATCCAGAGCAGTCCGCATGGCGCGATACACCGCCACCTGGGCTTTGCGGTTTAGGGCGTAGAGTTTGGGGGCAAACACTGACAGAGTCGAGCCTGAAGGGCAAGACCCCTGGGATGAAGATCAAGAAGCCCTCTGCTTTGCAGTCCAAAACCTTCTGAATCCAACTCTGTGATCCATGGTGTTGTGTCGGGCCTTTCAAGCTCTGTCGGCGAGAACCCTACCACGGTGCGGCAATGCTACGTATTCTCACCATGCGAGATGGTCTTGGCCTTGCTCTGAAGCCGCGATCCCTGAAACTGGGGGCCCAAGGGACCAAAAACACATCAAGATCTCACTATCCAAGGGTAAAAGGAGGGACCCTTAATAAGGACCCCTAAGTATATACCCTTAATATAATAAGGACCCTAAGGTATATACCCTTGATATAGCAATTATATACCCATTATATAGCCCATTATAGGGTAGGGGTCCCCATTAAGGGTCCCTCCTTTTCCCGTTTGACACTAGGGCTAGGGTTTAAGGTTTAGGATCTAGGGTTTAGGGTTTTGGGTCACATGCGCGGATCTCTAATATCCCGGCCCTGATACTGCAAAGATATCGATGTCCTCACGTTTAGGTGCTTTCTTTGGGACCTTTATGAAGCGAAGTTCTGGCATGTGAAAACGTTTTGTACCCTGGAGTTTCGGCTAAAGACCCACGCTCTGGTGGTCTCGAGTTTAGGGATTGGGATCTAGGGCAGACCCTCGACCTAACCCCGAACCAAGAAAGGTAGCAGTGATAAACCCTTAAACCTCACCCCTAGATAAAATCCTCACACCTAAACATTACACACAACAACTGTGGTATGCGGTCGTGGTAACTTTACTAGGTTCCTTGTGCCCGGAGCCTCTTCTGGCGACCTTACTTGGAGGTTCAGGGGTAGTTATAAGTGGGGTTATAAGTAAGGTAACTATACTTATAACCCTTATTGAGGGACTTATAACCCCACTTATAACTGCCCATAAACCTCCAAGTAATCTTCGTGTGGGGCGGTTTTTTGCACCCAGTTCCTTCTGCTCCAAAACATGTTGTCTTTCCTACTGCTCTTTGTCATCTTGGTCGTTGCCCCTGTCGGTTTACTATAGCTGCTTTTCTCGTGCTCCTTGATTTCCTTTTGTTGTCAGCTTCCTGCAAATAGAGGCATGTGAACTTCAAGCTTCTTCTCCACTGGCCCTCGAAAAGATCTGGAGGCTTGATTCAAGCATCAGGCTGCTGTACACAACCGTGTATACTTCAAAACCTCTAAATTCAAAACGAGTCTAAACTCAAGCACAAAAACCTACGGTAAACCTCACAAGTCCCTCACAATCCAGGAGCTCTACACCACTGAACCCTACAACCTGAACGTTTGCTGCGAGGGGCAACGGCACTGGACACCGAACTACGACACCCTCCTGCATTGCCACATTTTGAGCCGAAAGAGCCGCAAGGACCGTTGCTCACCGATGCTTCAATGAAGTGTAGCTTCCTTGTCGCCTTTTGGCTTTGGTGGGGAAGGCTCCGTTCAACAACAGGTTTCGGGGCTTAGGACCCAATTTTTTGCCCGTTAGGATTCATTGACTTCCTTTTCTTGAGCCCCAAACTGATTGGAATGGCTGTAGACGGTAGCACAAGTAGGAGGACAGTGATAGCCCCCCAAACCTCCCTTCTGGGAACATCATATGGAAGCATCCAGAACTTGTCGACTAAGTGCAGTCACAGAGTCTCTAGCATCGATACGTCATGAGCTTTGACCAAGGGCTTTTGCAGAGCTAGGGGCACGAGGGTTTCGTTTAACAGCACTCTGTAGGTGCTTGACACGCACCGTGAGGCTTGTCACGAAGACGGTGAGACGGTCTCGTCAAGGCAGAATCTCAAGCGCAGAACTGGAAACGATGAAGGAGGAATCTTATCCGGGAAGGCCCGGCATCACTTGTCATGACGAGCAGAATCATCGTTGCAGGCTGAATGGGAGAACCGTGTCCCTGCAGGCAGGTGGACCGAAAACGCACCCAGCAGAAGGTCGAGACTAGCTGCAGCCACGGGCCGCAAGCGTGTCAAGATCAAGTCTGCTCATGTCTGGTGCGAACTGTCTAGAAATATGCATTTTTCATGTATGAAAGTCTTCCCGAATATGGACCGCTTCCCGAACGGGACAAGCTGATACTCAGCTGGGCCCGATCGCCTCTGCTCACAGCGCGCAAAAGCGGAAGCAGCGACAGAAGGCGTTCACTCGCTTTGAAGGGGCACGGATCTTCCGCCTGGGCACAACCGAAGTGAGAAGTGGCGGTTTGGGATAGTAGGGTTCTATAGTTAGGGGCCTTAATCATACGAATAGGGCGGCCCATTATACTATAGAATTCGGGGGCTGAGGCTTCCTCTGTTGCATTGTTCCTGGCATTTCTTTCTGGCTTTCGGGATGGTTGCGTGCTTTGGTGCTTTTGATGCTGAGCAGCATGCCCGCCAGCTGACTTAACATCATCGAAAGCTTTATCATCCCAACTCAGATAAAACAAACCCGCCACCCTGAATCTCTTGGAGCCTGCACGACGAGATGCTCAGTGACGACACGACTGCATGCTCCAAATGGCGGAAGGTTTTGTCTGACATCCTGTCAAATGCCTACTACCCCACTCCGCCCCCCGTGCTCTGCCACGGAGGTGCTGCATCTCTTTGGCAGCGCGAAGTCCGCTTCAGAACTTCTCCTCCAAGTAGAAGTAGGTCCCCCAGAGCCAGGGAGCTTCAGCCTGGCTGGGTCAGGATGGGGATTTAGGGATTGGGGCTTGTGGGGTTCAAGGCTCTAAGGGTTTAGGGTTTTGGGTTTTGGGCGTGTTGAGAGTGTGCTCACGCTATCCTGCTGCAGCCACTTGGGGTTCCCATGCCGCGAAAGCCAGGTCAGGCCTTGCTCTGAAAAAAAGAAACGTAGGCCTGAGGCTTATTAGAGCGCTCATAGAAACCTGAAAGAAACCCAACCCAGAGACTCCAAAACCGCTCCATTCAGGAATCCCCCTTACATCATATGAAGATTCCAATTGTATGGCAAGGGATATTCCTCGATTACCGGATTTTGGAGCCTATGCTAACCCTAAACTCTAATCAAACCCCAAACCCTAAACCACTAAAATCAAAACCCTAAACCCAGCCTAAAACCCCAAACCCCTAAACCCCTAAACCCTAGACCCCTAAAATCAAGAACCCTAAGCCCCAAAACCCCAAACCCCCGAACCCCTAACCCTAAACTCCAAAAGTTCAAGAGAAACTCCGGGCCGGTGCACCTTTGCGTAGGTGCGGCGGCCAGTGGGATCCCTCGACTCTTGGAGCAGCTCCTGGAGATGGCGAAAACGGGAACCCTTAATTGAGGTCTAGGGCCTGGGGATTAGGGCTTAGGGCTCTCTTCAAGGGTTCGGTTTACGGTTCCGCGCAGGGTGTGAATTTATGGGGACCCTCAAAACAACATGTATCGGCTCCCTTAAGCGCCTTTCAGGGCTCTAGGGCTCTGTGGGGGATTTTGTTCTACAAGACTCTGGAAAGGCTCCAAGGTTTGGTGCTGTAGGTTTGATTTAGGTGGTCGAACTGTGACGTTTAACTGGAAAGTTCACGGTGATGTCTCTTCTTGGATGCTTGTGCAAAACGCTGCCTGCAATCAAACGGCCTCCATAGCAACCAAAGCGCTCGCCCGCTTTTTCGATGCGTCACCGAGAGCCGCAATGCTGCGAATCGGTGGTTCAACTAAGAGCTTCAAGCTTACACACGCATGTACCGCATGAGCTAACAGGTCAGGCTTTACTCGCAACATTGACACCGGTACAACCATCTCTCTGACCTGTTCGCTTTAGCGGATTTCTGCGCTTCAGCGAGCTTTCGTGAAACAGCAATCCCCGGGTGAGCTGCTCTCGTATGTCACTACCCCTACCGGCCTTCGTGAAGCCATCCGCTAACTGACATCTGGTAGGAACCCAGAGCAACTTGGCTTTCCCGGGAATTTCGCGACCTCTGGTCGTCAGCAGCTGTCTCACAAGAACAGCGTGGACAATGTTCCCTTTCTCCCCAACGTGTTGGCCATCTTTATGAATCGTGTCATAAATGCTCCTACAGTCGGTGACCAACGTGAGTGGGGCTAGCTGCTGCCACCCGTCGTCTTCGATAGCAGAGATAACTTGGGATCCGTAGCGTATCTCGCTGAGAAGAACCTGCGCGAACCTAGACATGTTATGTCCCATGATCGCCGCATGCGTCTCTGCTGCAAAAGATGATTCGACGACTCTCCGATTGGTAGAGGACTTCCAATCAATCAAGTTCATATGCGCATGTTGTTCGTGATCGGTAGCCCCCTTTCGAACGAAGCCGATGCAAGCACCTTTCTGAGAGTACACAAGTCGTTTCTCATTTCCTCTTTGCAAGATGTCCTCACACTCCCTCTCATCGATCTCAACTCCGACACTGCTGTATAATCCCGCGTCGTGATAAGTCACCAACTCGGCATCTTCTCCAAGAGGCCCGGAACTCAATCTCCAATCGGTTCCTCACGACTTCTCTCACAGCCTTATTTGCACGAACAAGGTCCGCCACACGGAGATCGGATATTCTTTTCTGAAGTTGGTTACACTCAAAGGCAATATCGGGTCTCGATTGAACCGCCAACCATTGAAGGCTACCAACCACAGACCTATAATCCGTCTTCTCCACATCCGTGGCGTGTGCATCGGGCTGTCGCACTCTCTCATTACTCAATGTCATGGGTTGGAGTCGTCCGTCAATGAAGGCATTCTGGCTGAGGACGACGCTGATCTCTCCATCCCTGTTCCTGATCTTAATCTCTTTCCCACAATAGGTGATACCGCTCTCTTGTTCAGCAACCTTCATCCAAGTACCGAAGGGAAACCTATCATGAACTTTGGTGGCAACTTCATGTCCCCAGGCCGAGCCGTCATGACAAAACATAACATCATCGACATGGACAATCATGATACCTCGAAGAGTTCCCTTAGCGTCTCGAAGCATAAACATGGCGGGGTCAACCATACACTTCGTGAAACCAAGTTCTTGTTGAAGGATGTGTGACAACTCTTCGTACCACGCTCGTGGTGCGTCTGGCCTTCCGTAAACTGGTTTCAACAATCTGATAATCTGCCCTGGGCTCATTCCCTTGAGTCCTTGTTTTGGTTGTCTCATGAACATCTCGGGCTTATCCTTCAAAGGAGCTCCCTGTAAGAAGGCATTAGAGATGTCACCTACAAACCAGTTTTGAGACCATCCAAGGCTCGTCACAAGATGCAGAAACATCATGGTTGAAACACGCTCGATGGTCGGACTGTCGACTTGCACAAGACCAGTCTTACTATCAGGACATACGTGCCCTTGCAGACGCAGTCGAGCTTTAGCTTTAACTGGCATCGGCCGACCGTCGGGCCCAAGGAGTCCAGCATTCTTGTCCCGAAAGACATACCGGCTCGGAAGAATCCTTTCTGGACGCTCTCTCTCAACCCTACGGCTTTCCTCCAATGACAGAATCTCACAACTCTCGTAGTCAAGCCAAGACTTCCAGTCCTTGTCCTCGGTAGCCTTGTAGATCTCCCTTTGTTCTGGCGGAATGCAATCGTACGGGATTTCTTTTTCCATCATTCTCTTCAACTTAGTCTTACTCTGTGTCTTCTTGAATGTAACTGCATGAACTGGGGCTTCTCCAACATGACGTCGCTACCGTTTGACGTTTTGGGGAACATCATCCAGACACATCTCTTTCCGCGTTCGGTTTTGAAAGGTTGTGATAAGGCCCGCTGCAGGTCCTCCAGGAATGAACTGATGATGGTCCTCCAACTCTGCCCACTTGACCTCCTTTTCAAGACACTTCCACTGTCCTTGATGACATGCCCACGTCGTCCTGTACGGGAAACGCTCTCCGGGGTACCGTGGCTCGGGGCTCCTGAAAGCCCACACCTTGTGGGATATCAATACAGGGTTTCCATGTTGATCAACATGCCAACCAACTTGCGGAACCATGTCGGCATGTTCAGCGCTCAAACCTTCCGTCTCCATGGCATCCACCTCCATATCAAGACCTTCAGTCAAATCCTCTGCTAGCGGTTGTTGTTCAACTTCATATGGTTCACCCCCGGGGCCTTTTTGTCCGACCAAATCCTCATAAGTAGCCTCTGAAGGTATTTTCCGAAACAGAGCTATAGCCTTCTGAATCTCAGGATTTCCAAAGTGCTTTTCATCCCCAACAGCTTCGCGGAGGTGTTCGCCCGCGACGAGAAAACTCCGGCCTCCAATGGTGACCCAGGCATTTCTATCCTGAATCCCCACCACATATCCAGGACCGTGCCATGAACTGTGATTATCTCCTCTCTTCCCACGCGCTTCTCTCCAAAAGAACACCAACTGTCCTATCTTGGGAATGGGAATCTTCCGAGTCCGATTGTGGGCGGTTCTAAGAAGCATCTGCCGAGCCTGACTTCGAATGAACTCCATCTTAGCATGATACCTGTATCGCATGCGAACTGCCACATCACTACCAGCCTCTCCCACTGAAGGATGGTATCCCGAGGGCCCGAGGGGTTCCCGTCCTGATGGAGTTCTCCGAACACTCTGGGCTCCCTTCCGAACACCAGTGCAACTGGGGCCCATCCGTGCTCGCGTGTCAAGGAGTTCTTGGCCCAGCTCACTTCCCTAGTCAAGCGACATTGAATATCATATCCTTGACAATCTGATTATGTCGTTCAACCTTTTCTGCCTGCCAGTGAGCTGTGCCTGCAATCGCAGTCAGACATGTGCCCGCCTGAGACACTTGTTCCCAGAACCCGCGTCCTTGAAACCCACCTTCCATGTCAACCGTAGCTCTAATCGGCGGTCCAGCCCAACGTGCCCAGCCCCGGTCGAATGCCCGGTACAACTCCTCAGGTGAATGATCTCGGAGAATTTCAACAATATGATAAGAGGTAGCCCGATCAATGATTGATAAAAACCAATAAGCTTGCTTGTTACTGTCATGAACACATATGCAATCCAATTGAACTTCATCTCCGAAAGTCACCTGACATGGTCAAATGTTCGTCGTGCGATGCGTGCCGGGACGTCTAGCATGTGCACATGTCATACACTTCATCCAGGAAACCGCTTCTAAGACCTCTTGTCTAGCACCTCCAAGCTTCAAGAACCGACTGAAGTCTTCTTTGCTAGGATGTCCCAGATTGCAATGGGCTTTGATGAGGCCCTGTCTCACCGCCTCACTCACTCTTCTTCCAGCAGGAACCTCAAACGTTATGCCATGGCTACCCAGACTCTTCGGACATGTTCCACAGGTGACATTCCAGAGCCTGCCTCTTCAGCTTCACGCGTCCTTATCTGTTCAGGCTCCTGAATATCAGGGATCATTTCTTCGTCAGGATCGTCGAGTTGATCCACAGCATACACCGCACTGGCACTCCATCGATTCAAAGCTTTCATACTGCTCTTTTCGCTCCATCGAAGATCTGACATCCGGCGATCACCCTTCCTGAGCTTTCCCCGAATTTGCGCAGCGAGGCTCCTGAGCATCCTCCTAAGTCTGTCTGGCTCGTGTTCCTTAATGTACCGCATGAAACCTCGACACACAGCCTTGGCTACCGCAGCCTTTCCCCGGTCGCCGTCACAAGCACTCTTATTGTTCACTCTCTCATCTCTGATGCCAATAAGCTCTCTCTCTCTCTCTCTCTCTCTCTCTCTCTCTCTCTCTCTCTCTCTCTCTATGAACTCACAGGTAGTTAACCATCCTGAACGAACATCTCGGCTGCCATCTCGTGAACATCCTGGGATATGTTTCACATGAGGATGCTTGATCATGGTATCACAGAGAACAGCGACTTCAGGCGTGGCATGAAGAGCAAGTTCAACAAGTGCCTGATCGCCCCGCTTAATCTGCATATCGACAACATGTTTCAGGAACTCACATACTGGTTTCACTCGGTCCTCCCTCTTGCGCTGTCGCCTCAGAGCCTGTGATTCCTTCACGCCGATTCTACCTACCGACGCGACCCGAGGACAGCAATCAGACACGATGACCAGGCGAGGCGCCGACTCATCAATCCAGCGACCTATGGTGTCTCGATTTCTACCGTCACAGAGGTCACTAGGCAATTGAACCGGTTCCACATGTCGCCAACCCCAGCGGGAGAAAGAGCTAGTGAAACTAGCTTCATGGCCGCATATCTCGAGCACGTCGGGCCTCATTCTGGAACAATTTGGTACCGCACTAGCCGCAGCCCCGACTAGCGCTGCCGTCGTGACAAACACTCCAGCAACAATCGCCCGAGCATTTCCCAACAACCTCTTCACGACACCCTTCTTCAGCATCTTCCTACGGGCCCTACCGTGAAGAATCCTCTCTTCGACCTCACCTGGTGACAAAGGCTGTCGGGAAACTGGTTCATCACTCGGCGGCTTGATATCCGCTGACGTCATAGCTACTCCAATGCAGTTTGGACCCGCTCAATCCTCGGGATTGTTGTCCTTCTTGACGATGGGAGGCACTGGGTTCTTGGGGTAGCCGCGATTCTTGTCCCTCATGGCCACGATCATCGCCATCTCCTCCTTCGTGAGGTTCGTGTTGTATTTCTTGTCCTTTTCCTCGTCCGAGGACGTCACTTCCTCGATCGGGATGGCCCCTGCAACCGCCCACGAACCATCGGATGAGGCTGTTGCCCTGCCCATTTCTCCCATGCGCTTGCCCTTGGCTGCCTGCTTGGCCACAATCTTCTTGTGGTGCTCCTTGGCCTTGTTGATCTTCTCGGTGGTCTCCAACTCTTTCTGGACTTCGCCCGTCGGGCGTCCGTCGTAACGAAGAGGAAGAGTCTGTTTGCATGCCGGGTATCGACGACACCCGTAAAAGTCCTCGCGAGTCAGCCTGTTGGTCCTGACCATCATAGGTATGCCACACTGGGCACACAGAGGCTCTGTGCACGTCATCTCCAAGTCGCGATCCCTCTGAAGTTCCTCGGCCGCATCCAAGGCCCAAACTTCTATCTCCAAGATCAAGGTCGGCTTGGACCAACGGTCCCAGTGAAGATCGCTGTCTCGCCCCAAGTCCGGCACCACCTGAGTCGCGTAGATGTGCTTCAGGGCTGAGCGATCCAATTTCTTCCAGTTGGCTGGAAGTCCCGTGGCATTCTTCTTCGGAGGGCGAAGAGCCCCCCACAACTCCTTCAACCGATCGAGGTTGTGCTCTCGCAGGGCCTCCTTCGTCACCTTGGAGCGCGACGCAATCGCCGCCACAAACTCTTCCTTGCGCTGCGGCACCAACATCGCCATCTCGGGAGCAATCGACCGAAGGGTTACCCTGAACTGAAGTAGCGATCTCGCCGCAATCTTCAAGCAGCTGCGGAGTATCTGCGCATTCCATGCCATGTGACACATCGTCTATTTGTTGATGCGGCTCTCGGTGGGACGACATGTCGTGAACTGCATGCACTGCATCACCCAAAGTCCTGGAAGTTCCCCTTGAGCTCAAGGGAAAACGAAGCTTCTTCAATGCTTTCTTTGTGTCTTCATCAACCTGATCAGCTTTTCTCACGGTGTACATGGAGAGACACCATCTCTCACCAGTCCAATCATGAGTTGCATGTGGAACTTGAGGATTGAACATGTGCGGAGACTCACGAGTGGAGATCAAAGTGCCGGGGATTGTCCTTCCATGTCTACCTTGCTTCCACGTGCAATCTTGACCTTCACTCTCTGATTGAGCCACCCACAGCTGTCCTCCCGTGAAGTCGCCGAAGGTCACAGTCACCGATGAGGCCTCCTTGTGATTGTGACAATCCACATGTACATCGGTGCTAATGTTCTTGGCGAGACTGAACGAAGACCATGTTCCATCAACCTTGTCTCGCATGAAGCTATTGACATACCGGACCACATGTGGATAGCGACACGTCCTCTTAGTGACCCCAGAGTAGTTGCCATGCGCGAACAGACCAGCAACCCATGCTTCATTCAGCGGTCCTGGCTTCCCATTGATTTCCCGATGTCGCGCTCGCCGATGGATGGGGAGCATCCTGACGAGCTCAAGAAGTGACTGATATCGGAAATCACATTCTCGATAAAGCTTCCGCGCCCGATCTTCACATCGATCAACGACTTCCCTAGTAGTCCGTGCCTGTTCGCCGTCCGTCACCGGTGGGTGGATCTTCTGGACCATCATGACCTGATCCCCGGGAACATCGTCTTCCAAAACTACTTCTTGGTCATTCTCGATCAGCACTTGTGGTGGCGCTTCCAACCTGCGCCCCGACCGCTCAAGGTTGATCTCGAAGCCACATAGACCCGCTTTGGTCTCCCTGAGTTGCACTTGAGTCTCTAACTCCCGAAGGATAATCACACTCTTTTCCAAGTCCATGACCATGCCCAGCATCTTCAAAGCAGTCTTGCTCAAAAGAAGAGGCACATCCTGGTCGACAATGCTCACACGTACCCACGCAAGCTTCGATGCCCCATAGACTATCAAAGGCATGATCACCGCATACTCGGACATGACTCTTGGACCTCCACCGAACCTGAAAGGGCGAGCCTCGTCGATCACGAAAACATCTTCTCCCCGTGCCCGAAGGTACCGGAGATGTCTCTGGGCCCATTTCTTTCCGGCGACAGTCCTGGCACAACAAGTGTCACTCAATGCAAGGCGGTTACGATCAGGTTCTCCCCCATTGCTATAGACATGATAAGGTGGGGCCTGGTTGGCATGAACATCACATTGCTCCGTGCCATCGTAGATGGTCGTGGAGTGGAAGATCGAAGAAGCTGGAGGATCCAGAATGTCATCCTCAGAATCGCTCAACTCCTCTTCGACCACCGCCAACACACTCTTCTCTCTGTGACGGTCCTTGTCAGCACCACCGCCCTTCCGGAAGGGGCATTCAGCATCGCCATGCCAATGGCCGTATACTGTACGGCCATTAGCCTTGCAAGCGCTGCAGGGCATACGGCTTTTCATCTCTTTGATCCTGGCTTCTCTCGCTGCCCCTGTCTCTGGCTTGGAAAACCCACGAGCACGTTCTATTTCCGCGCGTTTGCGAGCTGTTTGAGTAAGTAGAACCTCTAGTTCACCTTCAAGTTCCTCCGGTCCCACCTCATCAGCTTCTCCGTCATCTGGATCGGGTCCGTCCTCGGCCTCTTCGGTGGCGGCATTCACCTGTCGCGGCTGATTGCTTCGAAGTTTCCATTGTCGATTGTATGGCCTGGCGGTTGAAGGTCCATGTTCCTCGTCTTTCTTGACTTTCGGGACGATCGCCATCAAGGCCTTCCTCAACTTAGGATAGTCGCACTCACCGCTGGCAGCTGCTACCACCTGCTTCCTCAACTCGCTTGATAATCCAGATTTCTCAAGAAACCAATATGCAACGTTGAGACCCTCCAGCTTGGCGCCCACTTCTTCAAGTCTCTTAAGATGCGCACGAAACTTCATGTCGAATTCTACAAACTCTTCCCCCGGGCTTCTCCTGAAATCCTTGTAGAACTCGGCAAAGGTGGTGAACGTGCGCAAGTGCTCCAAAGGTTCGAGCTCCTGCCACAAATGGTCGAGCAATCTCTGCACCCCGCTCGGGTGCTTGAGGTCCTCGAGGTCGAGGCTTTCGGTAGCCATCCACGCTTGGCCACTCAACTTCTCCATGAGCTTCTGAGCCCTGTACGATGGATCAATCCCTGTGGAGCTCTCAAACAGTTTGACCCTCCGGGCATACTCCCGCATTGCAGTCTTACCGTCATACTCAGGCACATGATCTTTACCTGTCTTTGGCACTCCCTTGGTCGATCCACTACCTGCATCACTTGACTCTTTAGGCTCATCCGTAGGATCAAGACTCTCATCCGTGATGGTAGTCGACTGCATCCGCCTTGCCAAGTGCTGTCATGACCCCAGCCACGAGGGTCAGCATCGCCGCCGCTAGGGGGCGCCGTTGCCGCGGCACCTGCATTCTGCTGCATCCTTGCTCCGCCTGCCAATGCAAAACGCTGCCTGCAATCAAACGGCCTCCATAGCAACCAAAGCGCTCGCCCGCTTTTTCGATGCGTCACCGAGAGCCGCAATGCTGCGAATCGGTGGTTCAACTAAGAGCTTCAAGCTTACACACGCATGTACCGCATGAGCTAACAGGTCAGGCTTTACTCGCAACATTGACAGCTTGGTCTCTGATCCACAACCATCCCCGCTTGTCGAACAACAAATCTACCACAGCTTCAATCGGCATCTAAGAGGATGTACCCCAGAAAGCTTGACCGTCGTCTGCCGGCGACAACAAAACACCTGCGTCTTAAGTTCGTGTTGCAAGATCTATGCCAGAACATGTTGCCGCCGTATGCCCTCGGCATGTGGGATCTGCATTCAGCGAAAAGCTCAGCCAAATCCCTGCAGCTCCTTGACGATCAGGAAGATCATGGCAGCACCTGAGAAGATTTGGGCTTTGTCTACGGCAGCACCACTCTGCTGAGCCTTTGCACCACCCTCGGTCCATTCTGCTTTCACACGAGACATTGTCTCAAGCAGCGCATTACTGTGAACAGCAAAGTCCTCTTACTGCGTGAGCAACACTGTTCAAGCAGCGTTACGGCATCCTGTCAACTCAGACAGGTTGTCTTTGAGGTGATAGGACGGTTCGGATGGATAAGCTATGGAGACGTGGGGCAAATCAAAGTGGCCACGCCCACAACGGAGAAAATCATGAGATACTCCACGAGCATTGTGCGGCCCCAATAGTGGTCGTAAGCGGTCCTCGGCTTACAGAGAACAATACCAGCACCACAAGAGCACCGGACAAAACACTCAACCGACAACGCAATGACGAAGCACACATAACCAGCACTGCACTTGACGGTCATAAGCAACGTGCCGGCAAGTCGCAAGCCGGTAACGGTAGCCGTCATGAGTGCCGCCGCCGTCAAGAGAGCGCATTCCGTCAGGTTGAAACTCATCGTCTTGTAAGGCCTAAAGTGGAATCTGCGAATCGTATAATTAGAATAGCCTGGAATTGAACCCAAGTGCTTGGGAAACAGGTCCTCCGAAGGACGAGCCCTCCGCACAAACATCAAAAACATCTCCCAGAACATGCAAGGTTCAGAACTGCAGCGTGCAGAAAGAGAGACCCGATGACAATAGTTGCAATGCAGACCTGGGGAATGTTGAGCGTCCAGGTTCAGTTTTGGGTCGCTGACCCAAAAGCCACGATCCAAAAGGTGCACAGATGCTCGGTTAAACAGGAACCGAAAGCGCACTGAGAGAACTCAAAGGTGGCAAACCGAACCTAGAAACCAGGAAACCAGAAGTCCACCCTACACTCTTCACCCCTCCATGCCCGCCCCCGACCAGTTGAAGAGATGGCGAAGAAGTGATGGGCAGGGCGGACACTGCAAGCGTGAGCAAGGTCTTCCTGCCACGACTTGAAGCTTCAAAGCAAAACTGGCGATTGAGATTCTCGAGGCTGTTTGGGGATTGGTAGTGGACACATCATACTCGAAGGTGCAGGGCAGGAAGCTTGATCTGAAATCATACGGCCATACGGACACCGACATCTCTGAAAGGCCGTGCAAGACATTTACCCTATGAGGAAGGCCATTCCCAAGTCTGAATGGTGGTGCCGGGGGGGTCTGAATACTGGAATCCGGTTTTGTACTTATTCCTCCTCCTCCTCCTCCTCCTACTTAAAGGATCATGGGACTTACTAACTAGGGTTATTATTGGGGGAACCATACTTATCACTACTTACAACCCCAATACAAGGTACTTGTAACCATACCTACTAAGTCCCATGATCCTCCAAGTAGGACTACGCCCAGGTGTGTGCACTATGAGTCCTCATCAGACGTTCGGACTCCCAGAGTTGACACGTCTGTCGGTAGGCCCGGCTCAAGAAGATCACGTGGAGCGGTGGCTTCGGTCCGTCCTGTGGTTTTGGTTTTAGGGTTTAGGTCTTAGGGTTTAGGGCTTTGGGTTTAGGGTTTAGGGCTCAGGGTTTAGGGTTTACGGAAACGGTTTAGGAACTGGTTTTGGTTTAGAGCTTGGGCTGGTGTACACGGTGTAGAGTTGCCGATTTTGGGCTTGTTTAGGGACTGGGGTTTCGAGTTTTGGGTACTCTGAGCCCTGCCTTCTTGGACAGCGAAAGGCGGACCCAAACGTAAGACACCGCCAGGAAGGCGGAGACCATCAGGATGCGGACGACGTGGCGGTGGAATTCTTGCTTTACGAAGGGGCATTCGAAGGTCTGCTCCCCAGAGCTCTCAGGTTCGAACTGAAAGCCTCGGTAGAGATTCAGAGTTGGGGGTGTAGGGTTTAAGGTCAGTAGACGGCATCCACAAGAGACTGTCATGGAATAAGGATAACGCATGCTTTCAGCATACAACGTATCACCTTCATACGGAGACTAGCGGGCAATGCCGCAGACGAGGGAAACCGGTCGCCGGAGGGAAAATGAGGATAAGACCAAGCAAAGCGAGCACTTCTTGCTGTGGCCCATGTCATCATTCCACAATTAAGGCGGGGGCAATAAAGGTACTTGCCAAAGTAGCTGAAGATCACGGGCCAGAAACAGTTAAGGCCTGACAAGTCCAGCAGCTGTAGATTAAGAGAAGAACGCGACTTCAAGCAAAGCACGACACAAAATTCGTCAGGTGCTAACTTGACTGCATTTGCAACAAGGACGGAATTCAGCAGCCGTGCTCATAACGCCAGCCCGTGCCTACGACCAGCACAACTCCATGCTCTGCTCTGGGGCGGAACGCGATAAGGACGAGAGCCATGGCGGCGGGGATGGCCTCCGCTATGGTCCCTAAACCCGAAACCCTAAACCCTAAACCATCCTAAACCCTAAACCCTAAACCCCTAAACCTCTAAACCCCTAAACCCTAAACCCGGTTGAGGGCATTGGAGTTCTGCTCCCTGCCGGGTAGCAGTGTGGAGCAAGTGGGCCGGCCAGAGCTTGCCCGGGAAGGCGAGCAAGCAAGAAGACGAGCTCCCTACGCCGCCGGAGCCTGCGCATGAAGGAGAATTGCGAGACGCCGCTGTGGCTCTCTTTCATAATCGATGGCACAGGGATGTGTGATTGTGCGCTGCAGAATCACTACTTGCACGCTGCTGGCTTGGTGTGTTGAACGCGTGTGAAGAGCATGCATACTAGCACACTGACAACGTCTTTGTGGCTTTGGCCCTGGCATCCTTTCGTGCCTAGAGGCCTCAAACGAGCAGGCATCATTTCCTCAGGCCCTCAGAATGCTGCAACACTCATCGAGAATCCCGAACTCAACCAGCCGCGTGCTGCAAGTAGCCTTGCCCTGAAATGAAGTCGGCTGCAATACCAGCTGCATTGAGCAGATCCCGTCCAAGGCTTGCCTGGGCTCACACAAGGGGAAAGACAATCTTCCCTGCAAGCTCGAACGGGCAACATCCTCCGAGTAATGACAGATGCTGTTGACGGTCCTGAGCCTTTCTTGTCAGCATGGCTGGGACTAGTACGACAGATGACTGATGAGCTGTCGCTGTATGACACAGGAGTCTTTGAGAACATCGGTTTGGGAAGAAGGAGCACAGAGGGGAGCCAAGTCCACGATGCAAGGTCAACTATGCAAGCGAGTGCATCAGAGCGGCTGCATTCTGCTTGGCTTCCCGAATTGCGCTGGTCTGGGCAACCACGGTCAATAAGGTGCCAGCAACCGTGGCAAACGACATCAGCTGGTTGATCAGCACGCCACTGCGCTTGGGCTCCTGTCACGCAACCGAACTTGCGGTCAAGCTTTTTTCCTGCCTGCTACGGCATTGCGATTGGGACACAACAGGAAACCAATCCAAGGAACTTCGGCACCCTCGACTTGCAGCGCGCTGTGAGCTGCCACTGCAAAAGGGACCACATGCTTTGCCAGCATGATGGCCCATTGCAGAAGCTTTTGCCACCATTCCGTGGCACACGCAGCACATTGTAGAACGCTTCTGTCTGAGATGGCATAGCCTTTCTGACAATACGCACATGCCTGACCCCCATGACCAGGAGCGCACATGGTAGAAAAGTCAGTGGAGATTCCACCCGGACATGCGGCTGGATTGGGACAGAAGATGGTCGAGCTGATGTCTTCTTGCTTCACCATGTACCCTGTCGACATCTTGAAGTTGGTTGTGTAGCAAAACTCGTTGTGTGTCGGGCACGACACACACTTCGCGCTACCGGCAGGTTGGGTGTAGTTGTCGTCGCACTCCTGTCAGCCCAGTGCCGCTTTCAGTGGTCAACCATACCGGAAAAAGTTTGAACCAACACCTTTGTTCAACATGTGCAGTCAAGCAGCCGAGCAGCTTTTGAGACCGTTCCCCTCCCTGACACCGGTGCCCCTTGGGCACACGAGGTCTGCGACCAGTTGCTCTGGCGCTGCCAGGCTGCATGACTTCAGGTTCGTACAGTTCACCGTACCCTGAGCTTCCCTACCATACATGGATGAGTCAAGACTGATGTGCGATCTAAATGCAGGCATGCTGCGGCAGAAAGGCTCTTGGCTTGTATACCCATGCTGAACTTCTGGTTCATGCTGTGCAGGTGAATACCGTTGAACATAAGCAAGCCTCACAGTAAGCTTGCACGGAGCGCCTTGTTGAGAGCGTCAGACTAATTACAACTCGACTGAGCCAGCAACCTTGTGAAACAATATCGAAATCTGCACTGCGGGGCTCCAAGATTGTCAAGTTGGAGACAGTCAAAACGTCCGATTCGGCATAGAGAGTGCCAGCATTGCCTTCCGTCGTGCAGCGGTAGAAGGACACGTCCGCGAGCTTTCCTAAAGCTGCAACATGGTCGGAATCGACATCCTTTGAACTCGGATGTGAACATCCGAACCTCTGAATTCATCTATTAACAAGGACTCTTTGCACGGGCAGGCTGCCTTTCGGGCCGTACCGATTCACTCAAGCGACCTGCCCCTAAGCCAGACATTAACCCAAACTGTTCCGCCGTGTCTCCAGGTCCCGCAGACCCGAGGTAGAATCCGCCGCCAGTTTGCCCGGCTGAGCAATTCTGAAAACTCATGTGGCCTGCGTCTTGCTGGATAGTGCCATTGCCCGTGCTGATGTACAGCCCTCCACCACCGCCACCTGTCCACGCAACACTTCTCGACAACATGATCCGATTACAGCCTCAAACGTGATTTCGATCCTCCCACGCACCTTGAGAGGCTGTACAGCTTGAAAACCCTACAGTTCCCTCGGAGACAAGACTGCACGCAGCCATTCCACCACCGTTTCCACCATGGGCGTGGCAGTGATCAAAGGTCAAGATGCCGGCCGTTCGCTGGTGCACGCCTGAATTTGCTTTCGGGGCATACTGCAAGTTTCGGCTTTTTGAACGACTTTAGACTCCGTTGCGGACTTGATGCCTCCTCTGTCCATCAACAGGCCGCCACCAGACCCCAACGAGCTGCAGTTCGTCATTGACAAGTTTCCGTCCAAAGCCAGATTGCCTTGCTCGACGTATATGCATCCACCTGCAATCATTTACACCGCACAACCGCTGCTCATATGTTGAAACGACGAATCTTGCAGCACAATGTTAAATATGGGCCTTGCACGGATCGGGTTTTCCGGGCGGAGGGCTTTTTTTCTTAAGTCTGGCCCGCCGCGGTTCCGCCTTCCTAAGTCTGGCTCGCTCGTTTGGGCTGCAAACACAGCAAACTGATTTGTAGGGTCTTGTCTTGCTTGTGCTTTGCATCAAGTTATTGAGGAATTACCACTTGCAGGGTCTTGTTTTGCTTGTGTTTTGCAGCAAGCTATGGGGAAATTAACATGTGCAGGGTGAATTACCATTTGCAGGGTCTTGTTTTGCTTGTGTTTTGCATCAAGCTCCGGGGGAATTACCATGTGCAGGGTCTTGTTTTGCTTGTGGTTTGCATCAAGCTTTTGGGGAACTGGGTCTGGTTTCGCGTTTGAATATTGGGGGATTACAACTTCGAAGCTCCTGTCTTGTGTCGTTGTTTTCTGGTGTCGTTGATGTTGTTGTCGTCGTCGTCCTCCTCTTCGTCGTTGTCGTCGTGGTGGTTCTCGTTGTTGTCGTTGTGGTTGCGGTTGTGGTTGTCGTTGTGGTTGTGGTTGTGGCTGTTGTTGTGGTTACTGCTGGTGTTGGTGTTGGTGTTGGTGTTGGCGTTGGCGTTGGCGTTGGCGTTGGCGTTGGCGTTGGCGTTGGCGTTGGCGTTGGCGTTGGCGTTGGCGTTGGCGTTGGCGTTGGCGTTGGCGTTGGCGTTGGCGTTGGCGTTGGCGTTGGCGTTGGTGTTGGTGTTGGTGTTGGTGTTGGTGTTGGTGTTGGTGTTAGTGCTGGTGTTGCTTATGTTGCTTGTGTTGTCGTTGTTGTTGTTGTTGCTGTAACCGTTGTTGTCGTCGCTGCTGTCGTTGTTTTGTATTGTTGTTCTTGTCGATGGTGTTATTCATCTTCCTTATGTTGGTGTTGTCGTTGTGGTTGCGGTTGTGGTTGTCGTTGTGGTTGTGGTTGTGGCTGTTGTTGTGGTTACTGCTGGTGTTGGTGTTGGTGTTGGTGTTGGTGTTGGTGTTGGCGTTGGCGTTGGCGTTGGCGTTGGCGTTGGCGTTGGCGTTGGCGTTGGCGTTGGCGTTGGCGTTGGCGTTGGCGTTGGCGTTGGCGTTGGCGTTGGCGTTGGCGTTGGCGTTGGCGTTGGTGTTGGTGTTGGTGTTGGTGTTGGTGTTAGTGCTGGTGTTGTTTATGTTGCTTGTGTTGTCGTTGTTGCTGTTGTTGCTGTAACCGTTGTTGTCGTCGCTGCTGTCGTTGTTTTGTATTGTTGTTCTTGTCGATGGTGTTATTCATCTTCCTTATGTTGGTGTTGTTGTTGTTGTTGTTGGAGATGTTGTGGTTGCAGTCGTTGTCGTCACTCTTGCTGCTGTTGTCGTTGTTGTTGTTGGCGGAGGTGGTGTCGTTGGACAGACAGGCAGACAGACAGACAGACAGAGACAAACAGACGGACGGTACAACTCTGACGACCACGACCACCACCACCAATCCCCATGTAACCCGAGCGCGACGCCTGCACCGCACCAGGAGGCAAAGCATAAACAAAACGAGACCGTGCACATTCTAGTTTTTTAATAGCTTGATGCAAAACGCAAGCGAAGGGGACCAGGGGAACAGGGGTCCAGACCTACCAAGGCTCCCCAGACCGGGCCAGACTTAGGAAAAAAAACCGGGACCAGGTCAGAAAATCGGAACGGAGTTTTTTGGCAATAAAGCATTGCTTTGCGTTTCAACCGACAAGCTCAGACATGGACGATCCCTCAAGCGACCCTAGGCCGTTTTGATCCGTCAGGCCAGCTCGAGATGTTTGGCAATTTGTGTTCTTCGCGAATCTGCAGACCAGATACAAGGGTTTCCCCGATTTTTAAACGTGTTGCCGCCTCAACACTTCTGCGGGAAGCTTTAAATACTCCCGCCTGTGCTTGATGAGCCCAAGCTCATTAACCAAACTGTTTTCGTGAACGTTCCTGTGTGGAAGTACATCGTGATGTCAGCTGGTTGCTGCAAAAAGTCAACTGTCCGAACTAAATCAAGTCGACGAAAGCATTTATGGTATCGCTGCGCAATCCCTGCATGCATGCTGAACATGTCCATTACCCGAATCATCAGAATTCGACCCAAGATCCTTGTGAACTGAGTATTCCATTCTCGTGCTTCGTACAGGACCCACACTTGTACCAAGAACTTGACATAAATGTCTCGAACTCGCGGCTGTCCAACCCAGGAGCCTCCCACGCTTGAATTATATGCCTGGCACCCGGAGAGGGTCATGGCGGCATCCACGATCGTCATGCCCCTTTGTACCCAAATGCCACCACCAGCTGCAGCTCGGCAGCCAACAAACTGCATTCTGCCCGTGACTTGATGCAGGTGGCCTGACTGAAGCGCAATACCCCCTCCATAACCCTTGGTGTCAGATGCTTGACAGGTGTCGAAGCTGATGCTCCCACCGTCTTGGATCAAGTCGCCTCCGAGATAGACACCTGCCACAGCAATTTGGCAAGGGCCTTTTGACTCTTGACCTGGTACACGACCTGGTTCCAATTTTTTCAAAGAAATTCAACCGCAATCGCCCATAGACCGAAGAAAGCCGAAGCGGACTCTGGCGCAAATCACCACGAGAAAAGCATTAGACTGACAGTGCGAACCGCAATAGGCAGCACCATAAACAGCACAGCGCCTAGAAGAAGCAGAAGAACTCTTCACGTTGAGTCACAGGTACAGGCTTCAATAGATACTTCAATATGCTTCAAAGGGAACGGGCCAGTTGACGGGGCCAGTGCGTAAGAAGGAATTCCCCATGTCCCACCGTGAAACTGCAAACATGGATAACCTTCTCAGTGAGCTACGATCTCAAGACCCTGCCCCACCAAGCTTATCCTGTCGAATCCCAGGGATAACTGTGACCAACTCCGGCCTCCACCAGAAGCAGCAGAGTCGCATGCACGAAAGACCACATTGGCTTCTGGTTGAATGTGAACATGAAGAGCCACGGATGCCCCTCCACCACTTTGGGCAGCACTGCAGGAATGGAACAACATTGTACCCGACTTCGCGATTAAGCTGCCGTTGCCGATGAGCACTGCACCGCCGCCACTCAGCGTCTGACATTCAGCAAAACTTATTCTGCCACCAAGTTGGGCGAAGGATTGATGGCTGTAGAGACAGCCCCCGCCCCCGGCAGCGCCTGCGCATTCTTGCTGTGCCTATGCACCAGTGTCTAGCGCTGACAATGTATCCAACAATCTCTACAAACCCGGCAGTCCTGCGAGAGTCGCGGAAGCGACACACTTTTCGAAAGTGTTGGAGCCACTGACATTGACCGAACCGTCGACACTAAGGCCACCTCCAATTTGTGCTCGACAAGCTGTGAACCGGGCCGAAGTCTCTGATAACTGAATGAAATCCCCACCGACGCGCAGGCCACCGCCGTTGCCGTTAGCTTTGCACGAATCGGCAAGAAGCTCGCCCGCATGTTGTAAAAAGTCGTGCTTCACCAAGGCTCCGGCACCTCCACCTCAAAGGGACGGGTCAAAGCTCCGAGGCGATGCACAGATCACGACACGAAGCATCTAAAAAACAGACCCGACTAGCCAGAGATGCTGAAACTCTCTGCTGTATGCACTCATCTTATGTTTGTTTGCAATCACAAACATCACCACCGCAGTTGACAGCCTGTAAAAAAAATACAAGTTTGTCAGGGCTGCCGTCGCTTTGAGGATCTACAGACGCCTGTGGGACAGCACTTCAAGCCAAACGAATGCGAAGGCGTGCTTGAGTTGCAGCTGACGATGATGCTGCCACTTCTGTTGCAGATCTGTTACTGTTGTTGCCGCCAGATGGTTAGCGACGGCTTAAGGAATGTTCAGAAACGTTACGAAGCCTTCTGTACGTGGCTTTAATTTCGAAGTAGGAGTGATTCGCAGACTCTGCTGGGATGCTTGGGAGTACGTACCGTGGTCGATCCTATCGGATCTGCTTCATTTTCTACGCAACTGCGAAAGAAGAGCCTTGCGTTTCGGAAGGTTTGAACTCAGAACTCAGTGGAGGAATTTGAACACATGGGACGCCGAGGTGTATCAATAACAGCACGCAAGCAAACCTACAAGACGCCTGTTTTGCTTGAGCCAAATCAAGTCGCATCAGTCCACTGTTGGTCTCTCCTAACTCGCTTGTACAAGACATGTGCAAAAGGTGCAGGTGGTACGTGTACCGATAACTCCCCCTTTAGGAAATCATCGTGAACTGTGCTACGTAGACTAACTACTTGGTGAGGCTTTGACGCCTTTCAGAAGTTGAACCCCGGAGTTCTGAGCCGCGGCTGGTCCTCAACTGGCAGCTTGCTCACGTTCCTAGGTGTGAAAGCGATGACAACTGTACTATTGCCCTTTGTGCAAGGAGTAGTTGCATGTAACCGTCTAGGGTCAAAGATGGCAGGCCATTTTAAGATCTCACCGCGAACACCTATGCTGGCCCCATCTGACGACTGGACCCACACATCGCCTCCCTCGAAGATTTCAAGTGGGATGACAGCATTTTTGCTGCAAGGCTCACGATAGGAATCACAGTGCGCCAGGGTGATCTGGTTTCACTGCAGTAAACTTGACACCCTACAGATGAACCTACATAAATTCGAAGTGCCTACTGAGAAGAGGGTTACATTATTGCATTTTGCCTTAAACCTGCGATTCCGCCGCCATGCGCAAAGCGCCGGCGGTGAAGCAAGACGCTTCGTTTCCAGAAGGGCGCACAGCGCTCTCTTCTAGGAGATACTTCATTCGCTGCACGAGGTCTTCTTGCATGATCTTCCTAGGCAGTGAGCTTGCAAAACGTTCTACCTCCTCAACTATGACCTTCGAGACCTTTGCTGTGTGAGAAGCACCTTCACTCAAGCACAATGCGCGAGCATCTCAGACCACTCAGCTCGAGGAATAACCTTCGTCAAACCATTAGCTAACTGATCCTTACTGTTCACGTAAGTGGCCGAAAAGTCCTCTTGCTCAAAGATCTCTGCCATGCTTGCCACGTTCACGCGATGAACGCTTCCTAGGTGGTGAAGCTTTGGGATATAGCCTGACTTCAAGATCGCTCGGACAGTTTCGTTGTCCTGGTAGAAGATGATTGGCACTGTGCTTTTAGGGGCGGACTGCAAGAACGTCTGCAGATTTATGACCTCCGAAAACATAGCTGAAGCCATGGAGATCATGTCGGCTTCTGGTGTGGATCTCACCACCGACGTCTGCTTTCGGCTCTGCCACATCACGGGGAATGCAAACTGGCCAGTTCCTATGTGGACGCCAATCCCTGAGGCACTACCTGAGGTGTAAGGGCATGCTGCAAAGTCAGCATCTGTGTACACGTTCAGCTCTGGCGACGCTTCCTACGAACATGACGCATTCATGCAAACATCCCTATTGTGATGTATGTATGTATGTATGTATGAATGAACTTTTTCGTGACGAACACCCGGAACGTGTACGGCACGAGGAAGGCGCGCCCCAATCAGCCAGAGCCAGGCGGAGAGCACCATCCTGAGCTGTGAGCCACAGGGTCAAAGAGAACCTTTGCAGTCTTCTGACGCAGACAGCGGCAAAACCATCGAAGATGAGCGCGTGCAGCACCAGTCCTTGGCTGTGAGCACAAGCTCAGGGACCTTAGCCAGACAAAGCGGCCAGTCCAGGGTCGGACGTGTCAGGCGCAGAGCCCGAGACATGCACAGGAGACCTAGTACCAGACCATTGCTGTGAGCACAAGCTCAGGGACTTTAGCCAGACACAGAGGCGTGTCAGCGCAGAGCCCGACACACTCAGGAGGCCTAGTACCAGAACTTAGCTGCGAGCGCAGGCTCAGGGACCTCAGCCGGACAAAGAGGCCAGCCAAGGGTCAGACCGCAGAGCCCAACTCATTCAGGAGGCCTAAACCTTACCTGCCAGATGCGCTCCTGGACCTCAGCTACCGGAGCTGGATGGGAGAAAAATCCATGATACGAAGGTTTTTGGCATGCTCAAGACGACAAGGGCAGGTCCAGGCAACATGCCTCCAAGTGCCAAGCTGCGAACAACTTGGCCAGCAGCACTGTGTAACCGAGGCGTCAGCACGATCATGAAAAGTGCCGGGCTCGCCATGGCGAGGAGCCCTACCGAGGGTGTTCCGGCTCTGATGTTGATTGGAATAGGTCTGTGGTTCTTTGCTGTGCTGGCAAGGCAGTCTCCAGCTGAAATCAGAGACCGAAGATGCGGTTCGAAGGCCAGCAGCGAAAATCCCACACCAACCCAAACCAGCAATCTGAATCAATCGCCACCAATCCACCCAGAAGTCTTATGCTGTTCTTGCTCAGGAAGGTTGCCAGGCTCGCAATCTCACTCCTGTCGGAAAGCCTGTTGCGCCACATGGCCTAGCCTCCTGTGTCCGTGAACGGGACTACGGAAAAGGTGCGAAGGCAGGATAAGCTACGATTTCGGCTTGTCAAACGATGCAACCGAAAGCAGGTGATCGCACAGAAGCCTCGGCAGAAGAGCAGCGCGTTCGAATGACACTCCCCTCAACGGTAATGTAAAGTCGGAAGTTCTGTGATCGGATGGTGCGGATGCAAATGTCAACCGAATATTGGCTCTGAGCTTCAGGAGATATCAGTGCGCACGTATGAAAAGGGTTATGTATGAAGGGCAGGTCTGACTGCTGTAAACCTACGGCACTCCGATCCCTGGCAACCTCACTGGTTGCAACTCTGTGACAGATATGGAAGCAATGTGGCGTCAAGAGGCAAAAGCTACCTACTTAACACCGCAACTTAGCTGAGGCTGTTAAGCAGTTGAACACGTGGGACACCGAGGTGTATCAATAACAGCAAGCAAGCAAACCTACAAGACGCCTGTTTACTTGAGCCAAATCAAGTCGCATCAGTCCACTGTTGGTCTCTCCTAACTTGCTTGTACAAGACATGTACAGAAGGTGCAGGTGTTACGTGTAGCGAGAACTGGGGGAGCTGTTTGGCTGAAGGATGCTCAGAGGAAGCTCGAAACCCCCTCAATAGTAACTCGAGAGGATAGAAAGCACACTTCGCCGGATTGCTGGCGAGCGACGATCGCGGCCACCCCAGCAGGCACATTAGCACACGTGTCCCAAGCAGCGCAACCCGTCTCCCCACACGGGTACGAGAGGTGCCTTTTCGATGTGCCTGGCACCTCTTCGAGACACAAGCAGCAAAGAACGAAGACCCGGACAAGAAAGCGAAGGAGCCAAAAAAGGGCATAAGAAAGGAGCGGACGGAGCAGGCAAAGAACGAGCCCCAACAGACGAGTGAGCGGGGTGTTTGAAGTCTCAGTGATTCCATTCACAGCTTCACTTGACTGTAGCAGTTTCTGTAAATGTTCCGGAATCACCCTGCTCCAATTAGGGTGTAGGGTGCTGAGGCCCCATGCTGTTAGCAGCTAGCATTTTGGGACGACATCCAACCCCTTGCCCGAGTGAGGTGGAGAACCTAAAGAAGTTTCATTAATGATACGGAAACTTTTCGGTTAAGGAAGACTCGCCTCTTTGAGTGCATAGCTTTCAGCTTTGACTTATGATGAGCTAAGCGGGTGCCTTCTTGCAAGGCTCGGCAGTTGCGGAAAGTAATGCGACCACCAGCCATCAGCACATCCCGGCCTGTCTGAGCAGAATCGTCCGACAGAGCTTCAGGACGGAACTCTCTCACTTCTGATTGACTTAGAGCCCCACCAACCCCTACCATGCCGAAGCAGAACAAACCACATGTATCTCCAAACCGACACCGTGAACCCCAAACCCTGATCCAAACTTCGGCAAGCCGCCCACGAAAAGTCCAGCACCCTCGCCAGATTCGCAGTCCTCGAAGCCCAGGCTGCCGCTGAACTGCTTCAGGGAGCCTTCGAGCAGCGCTAGCCCCCCGCCCTTGCCACCAGGTGCTTCGCAGCGAGAGAATCTGATGTTGCCGCCGCGCTGGAAGAGGCTTCCACGCTGAAGGCCCATACCTGTCCAAGTTTGCTCACAGATGCCAACTCAAGAAAGGCTGGCATTGCGAACTCATCTCGGACACTGGAAGGCCTCCACCACTCCCACCTTTTTGTGCTGTGCAACTGTCCAAGCACACGCTTGCATTGGCAAGTGCATGAACATGAAGATATACAAAGGCGCCGCCACCACCTAGTGCGCTGCATCGCGAGAAGTTCACGATCCCGGAGGCAGCTGTCAGGTTATGACGGACATGGAGTCCACCACCAAAGGCTCTGGCCCGGCAGTCTTCGAAGCTGCTTTTCCCTCCATTCTGGAAGAAGTCGACGTTAACAAGCAAGCCACCTCCGCCTCCAGACAGTGTACGATTATGGGCACGACATGGCATACTATCGCCTGCGAGTCTAACAGTGTCCCTGTTTCGCCAAAGCAAAAGCTGGTCTGGGCCTCGAAGGCTTCCATGGGATTTACACGACTTGAAAGTGCTGGAGCCTGCAAGGTAGACAGACTCCAGTACTGCCAGGCCACCGCCCCCACCGTTCGCGGTGCAATCCAAGAAATCCGCGGCACAGTAGGATTTTTGCCTGAAGTTGCCGCCAAGGTGGAGACCACCTCCATCGTCAGAGCTGTGGCACTTTGCAACCGAAAGCTTGCCCCCGTGCTGAAGGGCGTCAAACTGCACAGCTGCTCCGCCTCCAAGGCTGGCTACGAGCAGGAAAACAGGTTTCGCGCAACAATGTGCCCCAAAGCAAAACACTCGATGACACCAGGTAGGTGGCGATCTTCACAAAACGAAACAGCTTTCGTGTGTCTGGGTGCTTAACACTGTCGAGCCTCCCTGCACTCATGAATCATCAACACATGCTGTCTCAGTTCTCCACACACTCTATGCCTGTGATTCACTGGGGGTCCTGCTGGTTGGAAAGTTTGAAGGTCAATCAGCAACACCTGACCGTCGTTTGGGCCTCAAGTTGCTACTTGTCGGAAGTCGTGAGAGGCAGGCCAGGGCACAAGCCACTGATTCAAATCTTTGCGAGCCTCCGCGGGTTGCAGAGCACGCGATGATATCCAAAATCCCAGCAGTTTGTATCAACGAACCGCGTCTGATAGCGAGGCCGCCCCCTGGGCCCCCGGTGGCATGGCACCGGTTGAACTTGGTATGCCCACCACCTTGCCGGAAGTCACCCTGTAAATGCAGACCTGCAGGGACACAGCATGCTCACTCTAAACTCGCGTGTATTCCCCGAACCGTGCGCCTCCTCCGCCACCACCGCCACCAGACGCACCGAAGGTCTTGCATTCCTGGAAGTCGAGGGTTCCATTGCTTGCCACAACGCCATCCACCGCCAAACCGCCTCCACCAATAGTGGCTGCACATCCCTTGAAGTTCACGACGGCCTCGCTAAAGATGACAACGCTGCCACTGGCGCGCATCCCACCCCCAAACCTGGGTCTTTGGTGACCTGTCCGGCAGCAGGCGCTGGAGCCCAAGTCCAAGCATGTTCCGGCGCTTTGGGCTTTACACGTGAGCATAACCTCCTTAACGTGCCCACGGTACACAACATTCTGGCTCTGCTGCGCAGTCTTGTGAAGACGACGGACACTGGCTTGGGGACAAACAAGTCAGAAAATCAGCAATCGCACCAAACCGAAGGGTGTAGGATATGAATGCAGGCAAGCAGGCATCATACAAACGTGTTACAGCAGGAGCAGCTATGCCTGAAGCATGACTTTCCTGCCAGACAGCGTGATCTGAAGCGCGGCATCTCATCGCCACTTCTACGCTGCGGCCCGCACGCTCCCTCCGCCACGCCCTCTGCCCCACTTGCACCCGAAAGCATGGGTTTCCGATTCAAAGTGCTTGACAGGATTATTGATGGGGTGTATGAGTCAAAAAAATCGTCTGCGCATGTCGATGACCCTTGACTCGTCAATCCCACGCACATGTTGGCCCTTTGTGGTCGGGTGCATAGCCAGGAAGTGATCTCAGCTGGACCCAAAGGCATCCAGAAAGCCCAAAACGCCGAGGTTACCTGCGTGTTGGTGCTGGGCAATCGCCGCTCTTACCTGTTGTTACGCAGAGAACCCCATGCTTCCGTACAAGGCACTGTTGGGCTCTGCTGACCTTCTAAAGCTCTAGAGCAGAGCAAGCCAGAACAGGGAGGCACGGCCAGTGCCTGGCCTCCACTTCCGCATCGCTCGAACGTGCTCAAACCCTCAAGGCTGATGCCACCCTCAACATGTAGGCCACCTCCTCTACCGACGGCCCCACACTCGACGAAGGTCGCCGAGCCGCCCACTTGATGAAAGGATGCCTCGAGGTGGAGGCCACCGCCGCTGAATCCTGCTGTGCAGTTGTTGAAAGCGATGTGCCCGCCACTCTCTGAACTTCGAGCTGACACGGCACCACCATTGCCAGCAGCTTGGCAGCGTGTAAACGTGGTGAAGCCCTGAAAGTTCACGTGGCCCTTGGTGTAGAGACAGCCACCGTGGTTGCCTCGGAACTCAGCCCAAGAGGGAAAACAAAAGGATGCTCTGACAGCCTGATTAATGGCCTAATCTCAACACTGCCTTGCCTCGCGGAGAACCAGTAGAGCTGCAGTCCTCAAAAGTGCTGGAGCCGCCCAAGACGACGGCACCAAACTCGGCAAACAAAGCGCCTCCATTCCCGGATGCGCTGCAAGCTGTGAAGTTGGCAAAGCCGCTCTTGGACTGGACGATCTTGTCAACAACGGCAATACAACCTCCTGCCTCAAGAGAGCTGCAGGCTTGGCAGGAAATCCACCCCTCCTTCTGCACGAAGCTTCCCGTTGCCATGATTCCCCCACCTGGCGGGATCGGGTTTGGCCATGACGGGCATGCATACCAAACACACCTGACACACCAGCCCTTCACAGACGAAAGCATGTTGCATGGTGTGTTTCCATACTTGGTCCTTTTTTCCTGTCGGGTGCTTTCTGATAAGCTGGTGGATGCATGCATGTCTCGGCATGACGACGCCGACATGAATGAATCATCCCTTGCTTGGTTGGCTGCAGCATCGCTCAAAGAACTAATACGACAGAAAACAAACCTGAGAAAACTGCCCCAATGGGCCTGAGGAAGCTGCCGTGCACCATGCAAGCGTCACGGTGCCCTTCATCTGAAAGATGCTGCCCCGGACCTTCGCGGCACCACCTTCGATCTGCAGCAGCGAAGAAGAGAAGCCGTTACTGCTCAAGATTGACTGCTTGAAACACTCCAAAACACTGCTGGCTGCACCTGCTTTGCGCGCATGGCAGCGATTGAGATTGATATGGCCAAACGAAACCCAATGCCCTGCGCTTATGAACAGCGCACCACCTGACAAGCACAGGCAGGATTGAGTATGATGCCTAATCGTCATTCACTCTCCGCACCTTCATAAGCCGTGCAGCTCTCCGCTTCAATGGAGCCATTCGTTTGCAAGCTGTAGTTGCCACCACGCATCAAGGCCAGGCATCCCCCCTTCCCCTTGTTCCGCGCAAAGCAGTTGTGGCAGCTGATTTGCCCAGCTGCCTGGACGAGCTTGCCATTGCCGATCAGCAAGCCTCCTCCGTGGCGTTCTGAAGTGGAGGTGTTGATTTTGATGCTGCCCCCCAGTTGGTGGAGATTGCCTCTGTCGATGTAAACCCCACCACCGCCTGGAAACGGATACTGCAAAAAGCACAAACTTCACAACTTGGCGGCTATACGTCGCCTGCCTTTGAGGCTGCTGCTTCGCTCAATCTCCAGCACACCAGAGACGACAGTGAGGCCCTGCACAATGTGGAGAGCTCCACCAGCAGACTTGATGTCCTGCACTTATGGATCTGCGCAGTTGTACTCACCTATACAATTATACACATCGTTCAAGTAGAAATCTCACATGCTTTTGCGGCAACCGCACTGCCTTGCTGTGGCAACCTGTGAACAGGATGTCTGCTTCATCCGAACTGCCACCAATGGTGACGGAGCCGTGCACCGTCACACAGGCTTGATCCATGGGCGTCAGTCCAATGAAGGTGATCATCCCGAGGAACTCAACAGCTCCTCTTTCAGTTGCAGCCCCAGCGATGTGAAAGGATTATGTATTGACTGTTGACGTAAACGGATTCCCTCTACTCGGCACGGGCACTCCTTCAAAAACAAGAGGTTCCTTGAGAAGGACTGTGGCACCGGTGCCCCTGACCTTGCAGTTTCCATCATTGCTCGGCACCCAGTCGACCACAAACATTCCCGACAACTCCAGCTCTCCATCTGGGCAATCTGTGGGAAACTCCGGGACTGTAATGTCGCCCGAGACCTCAAGGACCGAGCCTGGCAAGACATGCAAGCTTGAGACGCCTCGTGCCGAAATCGCGCTCGATCGTGGCATCAAGTGTCAGCTTCCCTGAACTACTTTAGGCAGCCTTCTTCTGCGTGGCAAGCGTTGATGCTGCACCGGCCGTCAGAAACAAGGTCACCACGGATAACCGCGGCACCTGACAGAAGGTCGGATGATCCTGCCATTATCGCCAACTCAACCTTTTGCATGCGCCGACCTCCTTCTCTGGCATTGCATGACGCAAACTGTATGTGTCCGGCATTCTGAACGAAGTCAGATTTCACGATGGCTGCACCGCCTTGTAGCTGCAAGCACAAGCGAGAGAGAGAGAGAGAGAGAGACTTTTTGACTTTGCGATCGCAGAACCGTCCCCTGGTCCCTTGCGCGGCGAAGGCGACACGCCGAATTCAAACGAATGAATCCAGCGCGGCTAACTGGAGCTGTGGAGGATACACATCGCCCTGTGCAACATTCAGCTCGACGGAACAGCTGAACAGCGAAACTCGAACCAGACAAGGACTGCCAGGATAAAACCCGCAGTGCATAGTCTCTTGCTAACACCGGCATCACTTGCTATACAGATCAGAAACTTGTGAGACGAAAACAGAGAATGTAGCAATTCTCACTCAGGATCCGGGCGTATGTTGGATGACATACCTCAGCCGGTGTATCATCTTCCGTACACCACCAGGTGTAGGTCGGGCTCCCCGAGGGGGCCGGCGGCCTCCCTGTGAGGGCCGAAACCCCCGTGGCACCTGCAGGAGCTGCCGCAGCAAGTACCTGAGAATCAATGGCATTGGAGTCGCGTGGATGTGCAAGAAAAGCTCGGTAATGTCCCTGCTGGGGTCGAGCCTCGAAAGACGGGAAACTTGGCATGTTGCATAGCCTTACACGGCACACGAGTCTTGTTCTTACCCTTGGTTGGGTGAGCATAGCGAGCAAGGCTGACTGATAGGTACTGCGGAGCTTGCAGGAGTCCATGAGGGATTTTTTGCTCATGCCAGCTTGCAATGCAGTCCTGAATGGTAGTGCTGGAGGCTTTTTTGGGCAGGGGAAGATCCACACTGACAAGGCCGTGTATGAGGGGCCGTCGGGCAGCGATGGAACCAGGCGCCGGCCTGGCTTCCCATCGACAGCACAAGTAAGCAGGACAATGCTGAGCTAGTAGATGATGAATGAGTTCGAAGCAGTCCTGTTGGTGATGCAATCGTGGCCAATCCTGCAAGAGTGTACCCCACCCGGGCAGGTCAGGGAGGGTGATGGGCGCCCTAGGTAGTGCTAGCTCTCAACAGTTCGTGCAAAGAGTGATCAAGGGATGCAGCACCCTCGGAGGGGCCGCCTGGCTTGACTTGATGCCGAATAAAAGCCAACATGTAGGCAGCAGCATGTAGGTAGCACAAATTGTCTGGGTTATGCAGTACCAGCTGCAACAACGCAGTGGGAATGTGCACGGACCCGAGCTCCCCGCCATCTACCATCCCACTGCTTCCTGAATCTCCTTGATCAGCGGCGACCGCTCTGGGCGGGCCGGCTTGAGGCAGAGAGAGAGGAGCAGGAGGGCCGAGGTGGCATACCACTTCCGAAAGATCGCCATCGCCTCCGCTGCCTCGGGCAGCTGCATGGATAGTTCTAGCACAAAAGTCGCTGTCTCTGATGTCGAATCCGGCTTGACGTTTATGCCTCCACTGAACTTCAGGACGAGGTCCGGGTGCTTCAGCAGTGTCTTGAGACGCCTTGCGTCCGCTAGGATCTGGTCCTGAGTGAGCGTCTCCGCCTGTCGGGGGATGAGCCTCTTCTCCTCGACATCCCAATCCAAATAGTTGTATTCCAGATCGGAAGTAATCCATCCCAGTTCTTGGGCCTTCGCCTGCGACTCCTTGTCGGTCGCGAATGCAGTGACCCTGGTGACTACTTCCGCTGCGAGGTACTGAATTCTTCAACCTGCAGGCGTTCAAGCAGTGCCCCGCTGGACTCCTGAGTCATGTGTGCAAAGCTGCGCGCGATGGCCCGCAAGTGCCTGACCAGCGTGATGGTGATGCGTGCAATGTGCTTTTGCTGCAAATCCTCCTAACACAGGCAAGCCATAGCTGTCCTCTCTTGGCTAGAGGGAGGGTGCGAGAGTGGAGAACCTTGAGCAATCGAGCCCGTTGCGCCTCAGCAACCTGTAGGCGGTGTTCCACCGTGGCGGTGGTAGCATCCACGTACGAAAGAACAACACCTAGGTATGTCAGGTGCGTGACAATTGGCAAGCGAATGGCTTTTTGGCTAGATTGGGGTATGAGCAGGAAGCGGCCCTCCGAAGTGGAGGCCGTGTGGGTGCGCCACCATTGGCGCGCCTGTCGACCTTTGTACACGACAATGAGTTGCGTTTTCCGATGCTGGACTTGCAGGCCGAGCTGAGCCAGGATCTGAAAGCAGTGCTCAATTGTGCGGACCATGTGTTCCAGGTCCTGCACCCGGTTGAAGACCCATTGTGCATGAGCAAGTCATCTGCAAACATGGTCGCGTCTTCCTGAATCCAAGCAACGGAAGTGACTCCCGCTAAGGCCCGAAACAATGCAACGGTGATGAGGGTCCATAAGCTAGGTGCGAGGGGACATCCTTGACGCACTCCTCTCCCACTGGTCACCCTGGCAGTCGGGTCCTGGCCTGCAGGCCAATAGCCAATGCAACGGTGGAGATTCAGGATGATGTCCAATTCCGGCTCCGGAACGCGGGCCGCGCGCAATTCGTGCTCGAGTACCTGTCTGTTCACAGCGTCGAACGCTTTGCTTGTATCAATGGAGAGAGTGATTCCTCCATGACAAGAGGTGGGCTTCCTGCCCGTGTCTCGCCTCTCCCGAAGCGTAAGCCGTTCAGACGCCAGGGTCTGCTGGACCTGTGAGCAGTGGTGCAATGCACGCGTGACTGCATGCTCGATACTTCTACCGGAAGTATAAGCGTATTGGGGCCAAAGCTTGATGGCCTCAGCGAACACTGGACGGAGTCGCACCGTTAGTGCCGTTACCACAGTCCTGCCTCCCCCCTCCGTTAAAGCGATGGGCCTCAAGTTCTCAGGTTGGTCCGGAGGCTTCCCTGGCTTGGGAAGCCATGCCACCCACGCATCAGCCCACAGTTGGTGGAAGGTGCCAGGTTTCTCCCAAAGATTGGCGCAAAGGACAGCAAGGCGCGGTACAACTACTGATTTGCCTACGTGCCACAGTAACAGCTGTGCTCGGTGCTGCGGCGTGGCCTTCCTGGCGGGCAGAGTGTCCAACGCCAAGTAGAGTTCGGCCTCGGTGAGGGGTTGGCTAGATTGAGGTGGGACCTGGGAAGGAGATGTTCCCGGGCTGTGTGCAGTGGAGGGCCGGCCATCCCGCGAGGGGGCGAGGATGGCGGAAGGTGGATATCAGGCAAAGTGCCGGTTTGCAGAGGTGCCTGCGGGGGTAGGCGGTTCAGAGGGTTCAGAGGATTCAGAAGACTGGGATTCATTAGGCAGATGATACACCTGCTCACAGTATTTGGTGAATCGGTCTGCTTCTTCCTGCCGCGACACAAACGGGAACGGGTCTTACATCACCTTGAGAAAACTCTCTCCTCGTTGCCGATCCGGAATGTCTTGCTGATGGGGGGTGACTTCAACACCACAGGAACCCATGATACACGAGTGTTTGGGCCTGGAACCCTTATCAGTCAGCATCCCCATTCAGACCGCCAGCTTTTGGCCAACCTTGCGTCCACCCATCGATTAACGGCCCTCAACACATGGAGCCGAATCTCTCGGGCCTTCACCTGTGAACACGAAAGGGCTAGGAGTCACATCGACTTCTTCTTTGCGCGCGAGAAGCACAGATTGATGGGCTGGCTCGACAGGCCAAACCTGATCATTCCTTCCATCTCCTGCGCTGGCGCGGCGGCGCCAGACACCATCCGGTCTCTGTGTCTATACCAGCGATCCATTATCAAACTGCATCACCCGCGTCTACAGTCCATAATGTCAAAGCTGCCAGGTACTCTACTGAGCAACCCTGTGATAGCCTGGCAGAGTGCCTTCCTACTCAGGCCACTCCTGAGCAACTTGATGGTGCGCTGCAGCAGGCGGCCCAACATCTCCTCCCCGCTAAAGCCACCTCCCGACCCCCGGATGTTACTGTCCGTGTTCAGGGTACCGTGAAAGACATGTGGACCCGACGTCAGGTTGCAATGCGCTACGCGGTTGACACTTTACGTCCTTTTACTCTATAGTTCACAAATCCAGCACTGGTGTCGCACGGGCACTCGACTTTGGTTCGGTTTAACACATCTCTTCACAGCTTGGCGGCACCAGACGGCGTACCTGAAACTCCACCGCCAGTTGCGCAAGCAGGGGCGCAAAGCCAAACGCGAAGTCCTCGAGGAGCAGCTTCAACAAGCTTGGCAGCACGGCAGCCTGGTCAGGGCCGGTGTGAAATTGATTAGGTCAACATCACGTCCATTCACTGGGAGTTATAAGATGCAGGATGTGCCCCTGAAGTGGTGTGGACCATCTGATTGCATCAAAGCCAGCCAGGGTCTTCCGAACCAAGATCATGCACCCCTGAAAGCGGTGGTCCGAAGTACCACTGTGATAAACGTAAAACCGGGGCAAGCACCAGGAGTTCGAAAACCTCCAGTGCGACTCCTGCAAAAAGACGAGATCAAACTCCTCCTGTTCATGTAACCAGATTTGAACTTTTAACCAGGCCTCCTGCGAGAGTCCTCCAACGTTCCAAGCCATGGCACGCAAGCGCGGTCCTTTGTGATTGCCAGAGACGCTGGGGCGGCTCCGCGCAGCGGGCCGTGGTGAAGCATTGGTCGCGGAGCCTTGTAAGGTATGGAGTGTACACAGACGGCCCCGATAAGTGGTGGTATGTGCAGGATTCCGAGTCGCTCGCCCGATAGCCCGGCGTAAAGCCCGCTTGCGAACCGCGGCCCGCGGCCCTGTGCGATGATCTCGCACGGTTGGGGCCTCCGAATGTCTGGGCAGGCCTAAGTGCTGCATGCCAAAGACCTGTCGGGTGCCTGCGGAAGGTTCATGTGCCAGAGAGGCAGGATCACCCTTTGCCGTATTCAGGGTCAGGCAACAGCTCAGGACAACGAGGGCACGAGTCCAGGTGTCAACCTATGACCTCAAAAATCAGCTGATGAGAGATGGGATTCACGCCCCCTCCGGAGTGCCGTTGCCACTTCCACCGGTGGGGAACTACGTGCTCAGCCTGGGCGTCAGTCTCCTAGGCCTTCCGTCCAGTGGCTTGCTTGAGAACATCACCAATGAAAACACTATGGGAGACCTGGTAGAAGCATGGGCCCTGTCACTATGGCAGGCAAAAGAGCATTCCTGGAGCAACTGGGAGGCTGCTTTCTCCAGATCAGACGAGATGTCCCGCGCAAGGTGTATGACGTTCTACCCTGGAAGCTGACCACGCAGCAAATGTTGGCCTTCATGAATGTGCCTGGCTGGGGGACCCGCCTCAGACCACCCTGGCCATTGCTGACCAACCGCCCGGCCCTGAGCGGCTTTCTCCTTCGCTCCAGGTCCCTTTCACCACGTAGCGGCCCTCTCGGGGAGCCGACCCACTGCTATGGCGAATGAGCTATTGCCGCAACTTACATTTTCCACTGAAGCCGCCCCCTTTTCGCTGCCACCGGCACTAAAGGACCAGGATCACGCAGTCTCACCTGATTCTGCTGACGATTGGCAGCCCGAGCAGGCATACATGCATCCGCAGGCTTCCGCATGCACCCTGGCTAGTAGTTAGTAAGTCTCACACCCCTACCTCAGGGTTTGCCCTCAGGTGCACTCAGTGTGTGCTGTGCTTCCTGTGCCTCCTTTACGGTCAGCTTCCCCTTCTCTCCTCGCTGACATGCATGCAACGCCTCTGTCCCCTCTCAGGTCTTGGCTTGCATCCCCCTTGCGAGGGTCGCGGTCCAAGCTGCTTCAATGCTTCGAGCAAAAGAGCATGCGGATCACGTCCGTGGCGGTGCCAGGGCTGGTGGAGGCACGGTCGGCCGTCGCTTCTTGGGCTGCCGCACCATAGTGGCCATGGCCGTGGATGGCTCCTCTACGGGGGCCGTGGCCGTGGCATCATGCTTGCGCTGGGCCTGCTCGGTCGCCAACGTGGCAAGGTGATCATAGGCTCGAAGGGAAGGGTGTCTGCGCCTCGACTTGCGCTTGGGGCCCAGCCTGGAGAGCGCGACACGCTCCTCCGGAGTGTCGGAGGTGCAATCCATGTCACATGCTTCCTGGGCTGTGTCTGGACTCCCCTGCGAAGCGGACTCCCTAGAGGGGCCGGCTGTAGATCCTGTGTCGGGCCCCAGCCAATCTGAGCCAATCTTGTTGTGTTCCTTGGTAGTCCAAACCGATCGAGAGTTCCTGTCAGCGCTAGCGAGGGGCTCAGCATGCTTGCCACTAGACTCACCATTGACAGCAGCACGTGAAGACGACGCCATATCATGCGGCACCCGGCTGTATATACAAAGCCCTGCTAGTAGAGCCGGTCTGAGCCGTGGTGCTTAGAGGCTTAGAGACAGAGAGAGAGAGAGAGAGAGAGAGAGAGAGAGAGAGAGAGAGAGAGAGAGAGAGAGAGAAAGAGGCTTCCACTGTGAAGCCCGGGCCCTGGGACCTGAATCTGCTGCATGGCAGTCGCGGAACTCCATGATGCCAGATGCTTCGAGTCGGCGAACTGCCACTGCACCTGGCCAGAGGATGCCGGAGACAAGAGATATCCACACTGTGCTGGCACCACTTTGCCAAAAGACATGAAGCTGCCAGCGCAAGGAATTCGACACCGAGACCTCCCCGACGCGCGGTGCATGAGCCGAAGCTCATGTTTCCACCTTCTGCTTGCTGAAGGTCGTCTTGGAGCTTGATTGCGCCGCCTTGGGACTTCAATGTGTCTTCAGTTCAGCTGCACACATCGCAACCGCGAAAGACGACTGCATCTCCGCACATGCAGGTCTTGAGATCCGGGCCATCGCCTTCCGCGTGGCAGCTGTTGAACTCTGCAGTTCCTCTTGCGTGCAGGCTCTTGTCAAGATCCATCGCACCTTCAAAACATGTCCAGGTCAAAGGTCAAGGGAGTGGGCCAAGTCTCCTCAGAAAAGGGGGTGGGCCTCCATCCCTTGCTGCAGTGCATGACCAGAACTTCATGATGCCAGCATTTTGGAAGAAGTCGGACTCGACGCGGAGTCCACCGCCACCGCCTGGCCAGGGGGCCGCGATTTGTACAAGAGCAATGCAGGAGGTATCAGAAAAAACGACTCGTGGTCGTGCAGACTTGCATGCCGGAAACAAGCCCCAGCCTGCATTGGCTCTGCACCCACCGAATTCCATGCGGCCCCACGACACCAACTCGTCAGCGACAGAGACGGCACCCCCTGGCGATGCAGCTTCTCATACCCACATTTCCCATTCCAGCTACACCCGAACACCGTCGGCTCAACAGGAAAGACAACTCCCAAACCAAGCGCATCTCCGACCTGAGTCTGCTGAACAGTTCTCTGCATGCATGAAGCCGCCGATCTTTGCACTGCCGTTGATGGCCATGCATCCCCCGTGGTGAGCTGCAGCACACCCTACGCAGCTGATGTTACCAGCATCCTGCTGCAAGCCAGTAGCTGCGCTTGCAAAAAGCCCTCCACCGGAGCCATCCGATCTACACTCCTGCAGCAGAATCATCCCACCCTGTTGATGGAGCCCCTCGCTTTTAATGTAGAGGCCACCACCACCTGGCAAGCGGTTGCATTTCAAGGTCAACAGCTGCGCACGACGCACCCGCCTGCTGAGCTGCTACTGTCCCGGATCGTCACGAACCCGGATCGCACCGTCAAGCCGTTCACTACGTGGAGGGCCCCGCCATAAGACGTCCTGTCCTTTCAAATCAAGAGAAGTGCTTCAACAACATTGGAATCCGACTGCTGCAACGCGCTCTCACAGAGACGCCTGGTTGTGGCAGCGGACAAATTTGATGTTGGCATCCGGATCCCCATCAAAATCACCACCAATGACGAGGTGGCCACGCACAGTCACACATGCTTGCTTGAAGGACTTCATCCCCACGAAGCGAATGGCACCAACGAACGAAACGCCATCATGATCAGAAGAACCTGTCACAAGCTCTTGAAGCTATCGTGTGGAAACTGGAAACACTTGAGTCTTTGTTCTTGACATGAGGAGTGTTTGCGGTAGCAGCCTGGTTCTTCTGCAAAGGTGAGGTGTGCATGCAGAAGGATGTTTGCCCCTTTTGCACCACTTCCCTTCAGCTTGCACCCTCGTGTCACAGTGATGACACTGTCTTCGAGGACTTCGTACACCCCCTGGAGGTCAATCGCGCCACCTTCGCAAGTCTTTGGAAAGGGCCGCGTCGGTCTGCTTGTTCTTGGCTTTCTTGGCCTGTATACCTTGGATGCCATACGCAGGACAGGCCGCCATGGTTTGAGAACTGTGCACCAGCTGCAGCAACGCACACGTGGTTCAACGTCATGTCTCAAATGCAGGTCCGGCTGCCTCCGGCTCCAGGGCGAAGTTCTCGCGGGCACGCTCGCCGGCAGTTAGCACCGTCAGACACACGACAAGCAACGCCTTGGACATCACGTCCACATCAGCCCGGCGGGTTCACGGAAACTGGATTTGAATCAAACCATCGCTTGCCCAGGTGGCAACACCTGTGTTAAGCCTTTGCTGCGGCCATGCACTCTGAACAGAACCCGAAACCCTTCATGTGGGGGCCCCACTGCTGTCAATGTGAAATCTTGCAAGAGTGCTAGGAAACTCAGAACTCTGCACCTTCAAGTCTCCGTTTAACTGAAGTTAAGTCCGACGCCTGTCATTGTCACAACTCAGAACCCACGACTTCCTTCCCCCTACTCAAAACCACACGGCGTTTCAAAACACCACCGAAAACATTCTCGGTGTGATCATTCAGTCATGTATGGGATGTCAACAAACACGGTTCAAAGGCTGTAGGCACAGAAGAAACCCTGAGCTCTCGTTGCACGTTGCCCACCCAAACGCTTACCAAATCCTCGTAATGTCGTTGCTGTACCAGTACGACGGTGCTCTCAAGCCTCAGTCATGCTCTCCCAAAGCTGTGCATTTCGGATCGGAAACCGCACTCCGACCATGGTGCAGCTCTCATTGTGGACATTGCAAAGCACTCCCGAAAGCCAAACGTGTCGGCCCCGGAAGCTCCGCGGCATTTCTAGAAGCGGTCAGCGCCGCGAACGACACAGAGCGTATCGGCCCGGAGTGAGCCAGACACGCATTGCTTGGACGGCCACCGTTTCCCGCCGTACCCCCTGCTCGGTGGCGACACACCGAGCACCTTGGATGATGACATCCATGAAGTCATGGCTACCAGCTAGAAATCGGAATGCGGAAGCCCCACGTCCCAACACCTTACTACTTGCAGGTGCTGCAGGGGCCGTCCTGCGAAGGCCGGTGTGCGAGAACGAGAGTCTTGGCGGTAGCATGCGAGGACCTCCCAACGTGGGATGGCAGGCAGGCCTCATATTGAACGGAATTCCCGGCGTTCGAAGACCCTCCAAGCGGTGGTGTCGGGACGGTAACATCTGCGCTCGGATGGCAAACTGGGTTGTCGGTTCTATGGATGTAAAGATCCATTAGCCCCAGACACAACTTTGTAACCAAAGGAATAGAAAGCCCCAGAGTGACAAGCTTTTACAAGTACAGCGCAGAGAATTATTTGCACCGAAAGCGTCTTGCAGGAAGACGCTCTCTATGAAGGAACATCTCAAGCGTAGAAACCCCAAGATAGAAACCTCCGGAGCGATTTTGCTCGGCCACGCAAGGCATGCACAGACTTCGGACGGTCCGGAACTGGGAGTTTCAGAAAGTCAGGGACCTTCATGTAGTAACGGTGAACCAGAAGATTGCATTTATAAGCCCACATAATCGGGTGTAGGGTCTCCTTAGGGGTTTTAGGGTCCGGGAAACTCATTGGGATCGTAATCATCAGGGCCTCTAAGGAAGGTAACCCTCATTCTCTAAAACTCCCAACTTCCCCCGTTGGAGAAGCCGACGCTCAGCGATAAACTGAGCTGGGTCCCATCTTCTTCTGCTCACATCCTAGGGCTTAGGACTAGGATTCAGGGACAATGGTTCGGGGACATCGTCCCAAAACCCGGAGTATGTGGCAGAAAGGTGTGCACTCACTTCAGGTGCGTCGGGCCAGGTAGGTCCCCCAGAGCCAGGGAGCTTCCACCTGGCAGGAACTTCATGGGCAGCTTACGTGCAAAAACGAGATCTCTAGGGAGCTACTGTAGGGGCCTTACTAAAAGAGTTATAGGGGTCATTTAAGGGTTCCTTCAAGGGTTGCCATAAAATTGCTACAGCAGAGAGCCTTAAGAAGTAGAATGGGTTTGGGGGTACATGGTAAGCTACATTGCAAGTCTCTAGGACCCAAACCCAGAATCCACAGAGCCTCAACAGAAAAACGTACAACCAAGACCCTCCGCCGCACAGGCACTTCAAATCTAGGAGAACTCTAAGCTCAAACCCTAAGTGGCTGGAAGTGGAGTTACCCCAATCAAAACCCTACTGATAACCATACTTTCTAAGTCCCCTGCCCCTCCAAGTGGGCAGGGGGTGATTGATGTTTGGGGCTTCCTGCTTGGCGCCCTTGGAGGTCAAGGCGGGAGGTCTCGGGCTTAGCACTGAAACTTTCGGATATAGGCTTTGGATTCGAATTACAACCTCCAAAAGGTCTCTTGCTCCTGCATTAAGCCTGCCTCCTGCCTGCGATGGCCTTTCCTCCAAAGATGATTTGCCATATTGCAGAGTTGAGGGTTTGGCATTGAGGCTTTCAGAGCCGGCTTTGCGGAAAATTGTTTCTCCCAATTCAGTTCTGGCATTTAGGGATATGCAGTTTAGGGCTTTCGGGTTTTAGGGTTTAGGGCTTTCGGGCTTAGGTTTCAGGGTTTGAGGGATTTGGGGTTCAGGATTTAGGGCCTTAGGGTTTAGGTCTTAGGGTTTTAGGGTTTGAGGGTTGTAGGGTTCAGGGCTTAGGGATAGATGCTGGCAGGGAACGGCTGGTCGATCCTTCGCACGCGGCACGCCGCGCTTGGCCCGCCGGTTGCGCCTCTCTCGGACCAGCTCCTGGAGACTGGGTTCTTGTCAAGGAATTTCATTCTACCTTACAATAATAGGGATCTATGTTAGATAACATTTACGGAAATTCAGTCTAAGTTACCATAATAGGGATCTATGGTAGATAATATGGTTTACTTATACTATAATAGGGATCTATAGTAAAGTTTTTGGTGTTTTTGATATTCTTTGTTTTTATGGTTTTTTGTGTTTTTATATTTTTTTGGTTTTTTTATGGTTTTTTGGTTTTTATGGTTTTTTTGGTTGTTGGTTTTTTTTTGAAAGACGCGCGCGTAAATCACGGCAGATGCGCACTCCCAGGGTCCCCCGTTCTGTAAATAATATGGTTTACCTATACTATGATAGCAGATAATATGATTTACGTATTGTGGTACCTTAACAAGAACCAACAGTTTTGGCATTCAAGGACCTGACTGCGCTGAACGAATTCCTGCGATCCGACCGATTTGGCTTTCAAGCACTGGTATATTGGGGCTGTACCACAGGAGCCGGCGGAAGGCGGCCCAGCACACTGACCCCAATGCCAAGCCAACACCGATCTGCAGCGATTGATCTGTAGTAGGTTTTTTTGGCTGCATGCGTGTGCTGATGCTGAGTTGGAATTGGTGAAGTCATCCCCACCATCTCGATCAGAACCCCTCTTGAATACCCAACCCTAAACCTGAAACCGCAAAACCCCACATAAACCAGACTCCAGGACATTCCGCAAGATGGTCGAAAACCCTAAACCCTGAACCCTAAACCCAAATATCATGATCAGCAAGATGGTCGAAGATCAGTCTACAGAGATGCCTCTGGCTTCGGGTTTAGGCTCTGTGAGTCTGGGATCTTGCGGCTGAGGGGTTTGGGCCGAAGGTCTGGATAGCTTTAGCATCTTCTGATCAGCCTTCTGCAACCTGGGGGTTTCCGAAAATAGGGGACCCTAGTATCGTAAGCACCCTAAATAGCAGGATCCTTATTATCTGGACACCAAAATAAGGTGCCCCCTATTTCCGGAAACTCTAAACCCTTATAGAGCCCTTTTCAGGAACCCTTATTGTAACCCTTTAAAGGAACCCTAAGGTACCCCCACCTGGGGTGGGAACAAGAACCGGGATCCTGAGCCTCGCAGCCCAAGTACCGCGGTAAATCCTTCGACCCACCCCCCCTCTTACCTTTGGTTAGTAGGGAATGGAGGCATGGGGGTACAATTATCACTACTATTACTACTATTCTTCATTCCCTACTACAGTAACCAAAGGTAAGCCCTGCGGTCCCTGACGATCATAAAGATCATGACACCACCTTAGGGCAGTGTAGGGGCATTCGCGACGCTGTAACCGTAGCTGGCAAGCCAAAGAGGCTGGTGGCGGAAACAAGCCGAATACAATGAAATTTGCACTGAGTTCTCCACCCCCTTGAACCTCCAAGGAGGCTGAGTTTGCAGCATTTGTGGCTTGAGAATGGTCGTGAAAATGGTCGGGGTAAGTCAGGAAATGCTTGGAGCTGATACCTGCGTGGCGCTGTCTTCAAAATGAGCGTGTGCTGTTGTCTTTCTATACTTTCAGGCTGCTCTCATGCTTTTGCTCGTTTGTACGGGTCCCTCCTGATGTGCTCACACATCGCCTTTTGTGCAGAAATGCGAGGAATACCCGCAATCTGCCCTTGATTGATGTTGCTGCATGCTTCAAAGAGTCGTGTCCTCGGGATCAGTCCAACAGGTAAAAGGATCCTACGCCGATCACTGCGACTTGTGCCTTGAAATCGCTGAGCCAGGGACAAGTCAGAGCAGCTAGCCCCACAGTCGAGAAGATCATGGCGAACTCCACATCCAACATGAGACCCCAGTAGCAGTCGTATGCTGTCCTTGGCGAAGTGGGGGGGCTTCGGATTCACTCTGGATCAACAGCAAGCCTTGGTGCTTAAATCTCCAAGACTTCCGCCACAGCCCCACTAGTTTGGGTCACCACTGCAGCCACTGCTGGAGCCGTAGAAGACAAGAGAAGTTAGAAATGCGAACGGCAGGCAAAAGCAAACGGGCAAGCCCAGCCAGCACAGACACAAATAGGAGCAGACAACTAGAAACTGCAAAATCCTGATTGAAAACTCCTGACAAGAAGCAGCCCACTCACGATGGCTGTCATGAGCGCCGCCGTCGTCAACAGAGTGCATTCCGTCAGGTTGAAGCGCATTGTCTTATAGGGCCTGGAGTGGCGTGTACCCCGTAACTTCAAAACATTCATGCACAGGGCGAGGGCAAAAGGAACATCCTACCCGTGGATCCACAAGAAGAAGAGTTGGGTTCTAGTTTCACAATTCTCATGAGATTCAGGAGAACCTTCTCACAACTTTACAACACAAACTCCCTGGAGCAGCAAGACGCAAGAGCGCAGCGTGGAGGTAGAGGGAGACCATGACCACACCCCCGATGCACACCTGGGTGCTGCTCGGCATGGGGAACTTACACAGCGTCTTTCTTTGAGGGGTAGGGTTCAGGGTTTTTAGGTTGGGAATTGCTCTCTCCACATAGCTTGAATGACTCTGAGCCTGCGAACATTCTACTCGCAGCAAGCACCGCGCCATAACTCCCAGAGCGCAAGACACCCAAAGCAATGCAAACTCTATCCATCAGCAACAGGACTGGGAATGCCTTCGTTCTCCAATGGCGAGTGGTTGCCGGGTGGGGATTCCTGCATCTGCTCGAAGCAGCTAAGTTTCATGCGCCTTGGGTATCGACAACCGGTAAGTGGAGGGCTAAATCATCTTACTGTTATTTCTTCTGGGTGCGTGCTCAGGATCTTAAGTCAATCTGCCCCCAGAAAGGAAAGCAACTTACTTACAGCATATACCTACTACGGGAACTCATGTCTACATGAAGTCTTATGACGAAAACCCTTTTGCAGGGATGTTCAAGGTCCAACGGACCCACTGTGCACAATGCAGCATCCAAAAGCCGCTCCTGTTCAGCGATCTTTGGGCTATCATCTTATAAAAGGAATTCGGACGTGGGATGGTGGCGGGAAGCCATGATTCCTTAACAGCAACAAGCAGATCGAGACCGCGACCTGGAAAACCTGCACAGACGCCACGTAACGAGCAGTTGGTAAGACAGAAACACACTGGTACTCACAGAAGGGATATAACATCAGAAAGACAGCTCACAGGGCCCCCCGCCAGTTGCAAAGCTGGCGAAGAGGTGATGGGCAGGGCAGATACCGCAAGCGTCAACAGCGTTTTCCTGCTCTCCGGCAGCGGACATCAGACTGACAGTTTCTCGCCATGAACAGAGCGCCGGTATGGTGTAGGGGGGGAGTATGCGTTCAGCATGCGAAGGCCCTGGGCTCGAACCCTCTACACGGACAGGGTAAGACTCTCAGCTGGCTGCATGGGCGTTCGAAGGTCCTTCGGGAGGCCGAGCCTAACCCACTGACGATCCGGGTGGTCGGGTGGACTGACATGGGCACCAGCTGAACAACGACACTACTCTCGCCATGAACATGCGTGCTTTGTTTGTATTGGATTCTAGTAGTATGTTCACCGCTCTTTGCTATTGCTATTGCCAGTTGGGAATGCTGCTGTCATCATCACATTTTGAATTCACTATTGTTGCTTTTGTTACTGCTGTTACGATTGCCTTTAGTGGCGGTGGCGGCCGTGGCGGTGGCAGCAGGGGTGGTGGCAGTGGCGGTGGCGGTGGAGGCGGCGGTGCATGGCGGTCGTGGTGGTGCTGGTGGTGGTGCAACATGCTGACTATTGCTTCATGTTGTTGCCTGCTTTCGTTGGTGTGTGACCATTAAGAGTTGCTCTCGCTTAGTTGCTGATAGTGTTGTTTCAAATAATAACCCTAAATCTCAAAGCCAAAACAAACAGCCTCGAAGCACAAAGTTCCCAAATCCCAAAAGCCATCTTTGGCGGTTTTTCTATAAGGGCGTTGATATGTCTCTACAAGTTTACACCAGCATACAAAACCTGCTGTACAATGGTGCTTCCGAACCCTGGACCTTAAAGCCCTGACCCCAAAACCCTGCTTGCACCCTAAAACCTTTGAACAAAAAGTCCTGAACCCTAAAGCCCTGAACCCCTAAAGCCCAAACCCTAAGCACCTAGCCCGCTAAACTCTAAGCCCTAAACCCCTGAAACCCTCCAAACCAAAATCCCCAAAGGAGCCCAGTCCTCATCAGCCGCTCGGACTCCCAGAGTCCGCAGCTCTGTCGGTATGCCCGGCTGAGAAAGATGACGTGAAGCGGTGGCTTTGCCCCCTTGGTTCCAGGGAGTCCAAAAGGTGTTCAGGGTGCAGGTTTTTAGGGTTTTAGGGCTTTAAGAGCCTAGGGTTTAGGATTTAGGGGCCCAGGCTTCAGGCTTGAAGAGGGCAGGGTTTTTTGGTTCAGGGTTTCTGAAGGGGTTCTCTTACAGGATTGTCGGTCTCTAGAGAGGTTCTACGAATTGGGTTGCAGGCTTTCAGGGTTTGGAGTGTTAAGGCTTTTGGGTTTTGTTCCCTTGCCGACCTCCTTGGGCAATGACAGGCTAATCCAGACGTAAGACACCGCCACGAAGACGCACACCATCAGGATGCGGACGATGTGGCGATGGGATTCCTTCTCCAGGAATGGGCACTCGTATGTCTTCTCCAACTCAAGCGTGCCCTGCGGTGCGAACTGGAAGCCTCGGCAAGACATAAAGTTTTTGGGGTTCAGGTCTAGAGTTTAGGGATAGCTTGTTTAGGGCTTAGGGTTCTATAGCTTTACGGGTTAGGGTTCTATAGGGTTCAGGGTTTAAGGTTTCGATGTGCAGATGCTTAGGGTTAAAACTTTTTTCTGTGATTCCGTTGCCTTCGCTACTTCCTGCGGTTTCCCTTAAATTCCTTCTGAAAGACTGACAAAGCCTGTAACGCTTAGGGTTTACGGCTTTGGGTTCTGTCAATGAGGTCCCACTGCCGTCATCTCTTCAGACTGAGGCAGGCGCAGTAAAGGTGCTTTCCAAAGTAGCTGAAGATCACAGGCCAGAAGCAATTCAGGCCTGACATCGACACAAGGGTTTAGGGTTTAGGGTTCTTTTGGGATTTAGGCTTTAGGGTTTAGCGTTTAAAGTTCAGTCGACATACTCTATTGGTCTAACTTCAGGTGTAGTCGAGCGCGCTCTACAGCCCAGATTCGAACCGTAAGATTTCCTGCACAGCCCCAAGCCAAGCCGCAAGCCCAAAAAGCACATCGACAGCATGGCTCTCATCAATCCTGCGAACCTGCCCGAGCCCTAAGCCCCAAACCTCAAGGAACCCCGAACCGAAACCCTAAATCCGTCGGCCCTGGCCTACGACCACTGCAACTCCATGCTGGTTCCTGGGGAGGAAGGCAACGAGGATAAGCACCAACGCTGCTGGAATGGCCTGAGCAAGAGGCATGCAGCCGGAATGCTTGAGATCCGAAACATGTGCATAAAACATGAAGATAACATCGTGTGTATATATGTATACAGGTACATACATACATACATACATACAAACATACATACATACATATATATATATATATATATATATATGTATAATGTGATGTATCAGATACTGCATCTCACATCTTATAACGACTCTTTGTATGATCCCGAGCCGCCGCTAGGCCCTAGCCGACTCTGGGGGTGCTGCATCTAGGCTTGACTCCGAGCTGCGGTGTGGAGCAAGTGGGCTTGCCAGAGCGTCCCACGGAGGCCCAGGTAGGAGAGCAAGCAAGTGGAGGAGATCCCAAAGGAGCCTGCAGAGGAAAAGAACTGATGACGCAAATTCGGGCCTAGGGCCTTGAGATTCAAGGCTCGGGGCTCTGCTTTAAGGTTTACTTACAAGTAGAGGTGCCTTCTTTAGCGGTTACTTGAGAATGATTAGGGGTGAGAAATCTGTCGCGTCGGACTTGCCGAGTCATTGTTATCTGCCATGGCCGCAGGCACAGACGCTTTCTATGTCAGTGGCCTTCCTTGGAAAGCGGTTGGGAAGCAGGTCTGCAATCCACACACAGGCATGCCTTCCTCTTCAATGTAAGCTACAACTAAGGGTCCATTACCCAAATATACTTTGGCCCCAAAGCACCTTTATAGGGAGTGCTTTAAGGCCAAGGCCTATATGCTGTGTGGGAACAAAGATTATCAGACTAAGCCTTGTCGCACTTTCACCTCAATGAACCCTGCCTGCCGGGTTCCCAGTGCAGATCTCGCCCAACCCCAACCGCCCCAGTTAGAGAACACTTAACGCAAAGAATACTCATAGAACCCTTGTAGAACCTCATGTACATATGTATATATATATATATATTATATATATATTATATATACAATATGTTCTAGAGCCAGTGTTTAAGAGGCAAACCGGGCCTTCCGAGGCGCCTTGCCCAGAAATAAAGTCCGTCGTGAAACCAGCGACACGGAGCAAAGCCTGACCAACGCCCGCCTTAGCTCCGAGATTCGAGCGCCAAAGCCTCGAAACCCTGAAGCCCTCCAGCTGTTAGCCCCGATCTGAAGACCCTAAAGTTTACCTAAAGCTCTCAAGCCTTCGAAACGTGCAGTTTTGCAAACTAAGTGTGGCAACAGTTCTTCCGACAGGAAGCTGCATAAACATGCTCGTTGCAAAAACAGCAAACCGAGCATTGCAACATGCACTAACCGTCCCACAGTCCCAGAGGCAACTTAGAATCCTTGGATACATGGATGTTCCAAAGCATTGGGGGGTACCTTATCTGGGGGTCCTTTCAATTGAAGATCCTACCAATATTTCGCTTTTACTTGGTTCCCTACGTTCCCCCTGTTGTGTCAAAGATCCCATTTACATCCATTTATGTTTGGTTTGCCTATTGTCTCAAATATCCTACCAATGCTTCGCTCATACTTGTTTCCCCTGTGTTCCCCTATTGTCTCAAAGATCCTACTAGTACTTCGTTTTTTTTCTGGTACCCTATTGCCTGAAACTCCCACATTTAGGAATGCTAATGGCTCGAAACCCCAAACCCTAAACCCTGAATCCTAAACCCTAAACCCTATTCCTCAACCCTCAGCCCTAAACCCTAAACCGCAAGTGCTTCAAAGTGGCTGCCGTCAGCTTGACTTCTCGCATCGCATTGGTCTGGGCTACCATGGTCCTGGGCTCTTCTCAAAGACTTTTACTTAAAGGTTTGGGTTTAGGGTTTAGGGTTTAGGGTATACCAGGACAAGGAAAGCCGCAAACCATACGAAATACCCCTATGTCAGCAAGTCATGAACTTCTATAGCAAGGACCCAGGATCAACAGGGTGCTGGCAACCGTGGCGAAGGAGAGCAGCTGGTTGATTAGTACGCCGCTGCGCTTGGGCTCCTGCCAATCCAAACCGGAGGCGGAACTCTCAACTCTTAGCCCTAACCCCTGGATGAACGACTTTCGCTAGCTCTGATATTCGGCTGAACTCCCGTGTGCCCTGAGCCCTACACTTCAGGCGCTGACAAATCGGAGGCGCCTCGGCATCCTCGACTTGTAGTGCACTGTAAGCTGCCACCGCAAAGGGCAAGAAGTGCTTCGCAAGCATATAAGCCCATTGCAAGAGCTTTCGCCAGAAATCCGTCGCACAGTGGGTGCATATCAGCACACTGCTGTCTGAGATGGAGTAGCCCTGCGAACAGTTTGCACAGGCACGATCTTGATAACCTTCCGCACACATGGTCGACATTTTCGTTGAATTTCCGCCAGGACATGCTGCGGGGTTGGGGCAGAAGATCGTCAAGCTGATGTTCTTCTGAACCATGTGCCCTGGAGTCATCTTGAACTTATCCGCGTAGCAGAAGTCATTGTGTGTCGGGCACGGCACGCACTTGGACTGCGTGTCACCAGAGAGCGCTGTAAAGTTATCTTCGCAAACCTCTCAGACCATCTGCTCAGGGTTGAGGGGTTAGGGTAGTTTAAGGCTGTAGGGTTCGTTGGTTTACTTATTCGAAATCCGTATACCGGACTTCGTCTAAAGACCTCACTTGCAACCACCGACCAGTCACCACACCTGTTGAACCCAGGAACCACCGGGAAGCCTTAGCGCAAGCACAAGAATCGTGCACAGCTTCCACCCGATATGTATCAAACTGCAGGCGAGTACTGAGTGATCTCACATGCACGGGGTTGAAATTTTAGGCTGAAAGAGCGCAAGTCCAGGCTCTTCGGCTCTTCTTCGCGACATGCAGCAAAAAACGAAACACACCTGGAGCTTGGAGCAATGCAGTCAAGCAGCCGAGCAGTTGCTGAAATTATCGCCCCCCTGAATTCCGGTGCCCGGTGGGCAGTGCAGGTGATGAACATGCGGCTCGGGCGCCACCAAACTGCACCACTTCAGAAGGGTGCAGTTCACCGTCCCCTTGGCTTCAAAGCGCAAAAAGCACAAAAACATCAACCAAGGACCATACCGACACTATCCCGGAAGTATCGTTCTGAGGATCCTTCGATGGCTCAAGGTCTCTTGCTTTCGGGCTTAGGGATTCTCTTTGGACTCTATGCCGGGCAGGTGGCTGCGTCGAGGCTTCCGGCCCATATGCCCATGCCGAACTTCCGGTTCCTGCTGTGCAGATGAAGATCTTGGAGGGCCAGTTTGCCTCACAGCAAATGTACGAAGCAAGCAGCAAAGAAGACCAGGACAAGGCCTTCTTTCGGAGCAACTGGGCCCGGCGCCCTCGGAAATGATGTCAAAGTCCACGCTGCGAGGCTCGAAGATAGTCAGGTTAGAGACATTCAAAACACGCGATTCGGCGTAGAAGGTGCCTGCGTCGCCATCCGTGCTACAGCGGTCGAAGGAAATGTCCCTGAGGCTTCCTGACATGTTGCAACAGGAAATGGAGATAACGCGATCGAAAGCTGGTGACGGCCTCAACCCCTCTATCCACACTCTAGTGTTGGACACGTGTCCCGGCACTGCGGATCCAAGGTAGAAACCACCGCCACGCTGCCCAGCGGTGCAATTGGTGAAGCTCATGCGGCCCCGGCTTTGCTGAATGGTGCCGTGCCCGCTGCTGATGTAGAAACCCCCACCACTGCCGCCTGTCCACACATCTCCGCACGAGGCAACAAAAAAAGCAATCTTGCAGCCTCAATGCAGCCCTTCAGCAATGTAAGAACCTGATTCAAAAACCTTCGGTCCTGGCTGTAAAGATTTTTAAGCAAGCCCTGGTTTCACATCCCCCAAACCCCACTGAAACACGGTCAATGTTGAGATCTCGAATCGAATCAAGTTCGAAGCAAGGGTATGTTGAGAACTCGACTGCGAACCAAGACAAACCAAGGGTTTTCGGTGCCTCCAGAGGATGCCGCACAGCTTGCAAACTCTGCGAAGCCCTGTGAGGCAAAGCTGTAAGCCGACATCCCACCGCCGTTTCCACCGCGAGCCGAGCAGTGGCGGAAGCTCAAGTTGCCTTTGGTTCGTAGGGAATGGAAGAATGGTAGCAATAGTAGTTATAATTGTACCCCATTCCTCCATTCCCTACTAATCCAAGGTAAGTCAAGTTGCTGCCAGCTTGCTGTCGCACACCTGCGGAGCTTAGGGTTTAGGTCTTAGGGCAGTTCAGGAGTTTAGAGCCTTCGGGCCAGCAGTTCAAGGCTCTGGGGTAGCTGGGTGGAATGTAGGTTTGCCGGGCAGAAGCGGGACTTTAGCCTCGAGGCTGAGCTTAGGAGCTTTGGGCTTCGGCGGGTTTCCAGCCCAAGGCTTCCGCGCCTCCCCTGCCCATCAGGAGGCCGCCCCCCGACCCAAGGGAGCTGCAGTTCTCCATGGATGCGTTTCCTTTCACGATCAGGTCGCCCTGGTCGATGTAAACACATCCGCCTTCGGGGTTTAGGGTCTAGGATGCACGGGTAGGGAAGCCGTCCCACGCCTGACTTCCAAAGTGCCCATGAGCCCAACCGGCATGTTATCGACTGCTTCATTCCAAGTGTATACTGTTGCAACGGAAGTCTAAGAAGAAGCGAAATTCTTCGGTTGTCGGGCATCTACAGCCTCACAGCCTATTGGCAGCCGGAAATCGAATTTCAGGTCACAAGTTCCTCTTTGCTGCGGTTGTAGCGCTTCCCCAGAGAACCCAAAACCCCTTAATTGAGGAATATGGCTTGAATTATATAGGTCTTCATATTCTGATTTAAGCTATATTCCTTAATTAAGGGGTATTGGGCTCCCTGGGTCCAGGTTCCAGAGTCGGTTGTGTACGAACGAAGGCCGGAATGCAACGGGCCAAGCTTTGAAGATGTCAGATCCAACAGGGTCTCGAAGTTGAAACGAAATCAGAGCCACAACCGGGCACACATTTCGGGCAAAAACTAGGACCTCCGACTCTCGCCTCAAGCAAACAAGTGCCAGGGAGCCTCCTTCGCTTGAACTGCGGGCACTGCATTTGGAAAGAGCCACGCTGCTGCCCACAGTCATGTTCTTCTGCACCCATAAGCCGCCGCCAACACCGGCGTGACAGTCAACGAGGTGCATTTCGCCCGCCAGCTGATGCAAATAGCTTTTGGACACAGCCAGGCCTCCTCCATGGCTTGCTTGGCAGCTGTGGAATTTCATGCTTCCCCCGTCTTGGATCAAGTGACCGCTCAGGAACATACCTGCCAAAGCGGCAGAACCAGGGACTTCAGCCCTTCGCAATTCTATCAAGGACCTGCACCAAGCACGATTAAATATGCAAGAAGTCGAAGTATCACCAGTAGCAGTAGCATCAGAAGCCATGCAAAGGACCTCAACACCACCAGCTCCCATCAGACTGTAAACATCATAGTCAATCGTGGTTGTAGCCGTACGAGTAAGTGTAACCTTGAGGCATCAAACGCCACCACCACCACCACCACTACTAGTACCAGCACCGCCAGCCAGCACTGCATCCGACTACCATGTCGACGATGTCGTCGTCGCCGATAACGACGACAGCGACCCGGACGACCACGACAATTGCCGTCACCACGACGACAGCGGCGGTGGCAACCACCCCGAAGACGACTAACTGCGGTAGACAGCAGTCGGTATTAGGTATCTGTGGCAGCAGCGATGATAATACAAATGCAAATGCTCCTGTACTACTTTCAGTGCAATCACAAATCCTCGGACAAGTAGCAGCAGAAGCCACACGGGTTGTCGTATCAGTATTCACAGGTGCACTGCAGGACTTAGCAATGGTTAGAGAACGAACGTTGTAGCACCAGCAAAGGCAGCAGTGGTCTTCACTCTCGTAGTAAATAGGAATCGGAATTGTCGAGATTTCTCTTGTAACAACAGGAGGAGCAGGAAAAGTCCGTCTCAGCATGGTTGTTCTGCGGGCCGGCAAACCGAAATCAGGCATGCCGGACTTCTGTTCATGATGACGAGAACCCTACTTGGAGGAGCATGGGGCTTAATAAGTATGGTTATCCGTACCTTCATTGGGGTTATGAGTAATTATAAGTATGGTTGCCATGATAATAACCCTAGTTACTAAGTCCCATGATCCTTCAAGTAGGAGTCTCAGGAGCTCTTTTTGGGGCCATGCCGGCCTCCACCAAAATAGTAAGAGCCGCATTCACGAAAGAACATCTTGGCTTCTGGTCGAACGTAAACATGAAGGCCCACCTTTGCTCCTCCGCCGGAATTTGCCGCCCTGCACCACCCGAAAATCAAAGTCCCCGAGTTCGCGATTAGGCTGCCGCTCTTGATGCGCAATGCGCCACCGCCCCTCAGCGTGCGACATTCAGTGAAGTTGGTGATGCCGCCGAGCTGGGAGAAGTTCTGTTGAGTGTAAATTCCGCCGCCTCCTGCACCTGCACTCTTTCTTGCTGTGCTTAAGCAGTGCACGCAACATGTTAATCATATATCAGGGCGTCTACAGACACTGCAGTCCTTCAGCATCTCCGAAAGCGACACACTGCTCGAAAGTGTTGGAACCGCTGACATAGACCGAACCGTTGACACCCAGACAACCTCCAGCTCGCGCTCGACATGCTGCGAATCGGGCCGAAGTGTTTGACACCTGATTGAACGTGCCGCCGACAAACAGACCACCGCCATTGGTGTTACTGCTGCAAGAATCGACAAGTAATTCTCCAGCATGTTGAAGAAAATCTTGCTTCACCACGGCTCCACCGCCTCCGCCTGAATGGGTCAAAGCTCTGAGGTGATGTGCATCTGCCGACGTGATGCATTGAAACGACAGCATTGCTGTCGCAGACAACATGACCCCAGCTGCTAAAGCCTGTCACACATGTGTCAGGACAGCCATTGCTTTGAGAAGTCACGATGCTTCATTCAGCTGTCTGTGCTTTTGTACCAGCATGCTGCTCTTCCCCCGCATAGTTGGCGACAGTTCAGGAAGTTCCGGTAACGGAGGCTTATCTTGTGTGGCTGCAATTTCCGATGGTCAGGGGCAATTTCCGATGGTCAGGGATGGCTCCGTCGAAGGGGCGGGTCACGTCTCCGAAGCGATGGCCATGTACGTCCGATGGCCCTGCTGAGGTTTGCAGGGTTTAGCGTCAGAAGATGGGTCTGCTTGATGTCTCTCTCGTCTTCGAACCGGTAGGGCTCGAGCGTTGGCCGATGCTCAGGATAATGCGAGTACTATCCATATGACGGCCGGCGAAACCGAGCGATCAGTCCAAATTCTGCTCAAGTTGGGTGATTTCTCGGCACAGACGGCGAAATCAATTCGGCCGTGCTTGTTTTAAATTGGGCTCGTCTTGAGGATTGCCTTTTTGTTGTTGAAGGGAATGTTGACCTGGCGTGTCAGCACAAGATTAGAGGTTAAGGTAATGAGTACACGTTGGATGAACAAGACCACGACGAATGACGACGATAATGATAGTGATGATTCCAATGAGCCCCATGACACCGCGGAACTCGAAGAAGTCACCCGTCGGGAATGTGTCTGATAAACGGAAGAATATCCTAAAAAGCCGAAAGGCAGCGCTGTGCACTGGCACCGCTCTACAGAGGTGGACGGGTGATGCTCAACACCGGGAAAACTTCTTCGTCGCATGGCTCCTTCCATTTGCTCTTGGTTTCGAGGACATCGGAGACTCAGGAGTGATATTTCGATGCATCGCTTTGTATAAGTACCAGTCGACAGACCCCTGCCTTGTCGATGTGCTTTACAGTTGCTGAAATTCAGGGCCCCGGCCATCAGCACATCCTTGCCTTTGTTGTTTCGGGTTTATGGATGTTTAGGGTGCGGGTTTTAGGTTTCTGGGTTGGGGGAGGGAATGGATCCTTGCCAACCCTCTTGAAAGGACTCTTTTCAAAAGGGCACTACAGAGCCTGTGCGCCTCATGATGACTAGTCCATCCCCAACCAAAGCCATCTTCGAGCAAGCGGCGAACGAAGAGTCCTCCGCCCTCACCAGAGCCACAGCGCTCGAAGCCCAGGCTACCGGTGTACTGGTGCAGAGATCCCTGGAGCAGCGCTAGCCCCCCTCCTTTGCCACCAGGTGCTCTGCAGCTGGAGAACCTGATGTGACCGCCCTGCTGGAAGAGGCTTCCAAGCTGAAGGCCCATACCTCTCGAGAGGAAGGGATTCGAAGATGTCAACCCCTGCAAGACTTGCTGCAAGAAAATAGCTTCGAGACTTGCAGGCCTCCACCACTGGCACCAGGGCTTGTTGTTTTGCAACTTTCAAAATGCACGTTTGCAAAGGCCTGTGCGTGAACATGGCCATTTTTTACATGTGCACCGCCAGCACCTTGCGCCCAGCATCGCACAAAAAACATGTCCCCTGAGGCAGCTGTGAGGTTCCCATCAAGGACTTGCAGTCCGCCGCCAAAGCCCCTGGCAGCCTTGCAGCTTTCGAAGCGAATGACTCCTCCATTCTGGAAGAAGTCGCGGTGAACAAGCAACCCACCTCCACCTCCAGGCACTGTGGTTTTGAGAGCAGCACAGGACACCTACTGTATGCACTCTCGAAACACATAAGCCAGTGCGTGCTTGCGGTTGGATCGTAAGCCTGGTTCAAGGCTTCCTAGTCCTCCAGAAGCTTTGCACAACTTGAATGTAGAGGAGCCCTCGACGTGGACGGACTGCTTTACGCCAAGGCAACCACCCCCGAGCTTGGCGAGGCAATCAGAGAAATGAGCCACGCCACGAGACTCTTGCGTAAAGTTGCCGCTAACGCGCATACAGCCTCCATCCGCTAGGCTGTGGCAGCCTGCAACCGAAAGCTTGCCCCCCTGCTGAACGACGTCAAACTCCACGTCTCCTCCTCCACCTCCAGGACTCTAGGGCTGGTCTTGATAATACCAGGAAACAAGTCTCCCACCGTGCAACCCCCCTTACCGACGACCGCTGCGTGCGGACCAATGCCAAGCTGCAAATGATGAAGTGACTGTAACTGACTGAGTTTCGGTTGGCACGTGTTGGCACTCATTTACTGGAGTGTTTGAGATCTCCGCCTGAAAGCACCAGCAACTGTGATTAGGAAGGGGCCCCTGAAGGCTGAAAACTCATGTCGCAACAACTTTGTCGTGGTCTAGGCCTGAAGCTGCTCTTCTCGGTGGTGGTGCTGCTGCACTAAACCAAACCACCACGAAAGAAACAAACCCAAAACCGGGACACGAGCCTGCGCCACCTGCTTTGCACTTTTTGATGTCCAGGTTCCCACCACTTTGTATCAATGAGCCTTTTTCGATACGCAGGCCGCCGCCCTTGCCGTTGTCTGCCTCACAACCGTAGAAGCTGGTATGCCCGCCATCTTGCCGGAAGTCCCCTCGTAGGTACAAACCTGCACGGACAAAGCAAGGCCTTGCTTGCAGTTGCTATTCCCGAAACCGCGTGCCTCCTCCGCTGCCGACATTTGTCCGACAGAATGCGAACATCACCGAGCCGCCAGTCTGATGAAACGCTTGAAGGTACAGGCCACCGCCGCTCCATCCTGCTCTGCAGCTGTCGAAGGTGACGCTGGCGCCGCTCTCGATCTCCGCGCTTCGGGCCGACACGGCACCGCCGTCTCGAGCAGCTTCGCAGCCGGTAAACAAGGCAGAGCCCTGAAAGTCCACGTGGCCCTTGGTGTGAAGGCAGCCACCGTCATGGCCTCGGAAGTCGGTCCAAGAAGGAAACCAAAGGATGAAAGGACAGCGACAGCCTGACAGCCTGCAACCTGACCTCAGCACGGCCACTTGCATTCCGGAGAACCAGTAGAGCTGCAGTCCTGAAAGGTGCTGTTGCCTCCCAAGTAGACACCGTTCTCGACGCTCAAAGCGCCTCCATTACGGGATGTATTGCAAGCTGTGAAGATGGCAGAGCCGCTCTTCTGGACGAACTTGTCCACAACGTGCATACAACCTCCACCACGTTGACTATTGCAGGCTTGGCAGGAAACAGAACCTTCCTCTTGCACGAAGCTTCCGGTTGCTTTCATTCCCCCACCTGGCAGGACCGCATCTGCCATGACAAGCATGCAGACAAAGCAAGCACAGCTATCTACCTTTCGTCGTCGTTTATTCCTGTCGAGTGCCTGATCCTAAACCGTTTGTACCTTGGTAGATGCATGGAAGATTGGTCATTGCTATGAAGTAGGACTTGCTGACTTGCTGAGATGGCTGTAGCATCGTTCGGGACAGAAAACAGCCCTGAGAACCTTGCATTGCCACTGCGGGCCTTCGCCAGCTGCCGTGCACGATGCAAACGTGACGGTGCCCTTCATTTGATAGATGCTGCCCCGGACCCAGGCAGCACCACCTTGAATCTGCGGCAGCGAGGAACACAAGGCGGCTACGCTCCAAACACTTCTTGGTGCACCTGGTCCTTCCTCTGCACGGCAACGATTGAAAATGATATGGCCAAACAAAAGCCAATGTCCGGTGCTGATGTGCAGCGCGCCACCTCCGAAACAATAGCACAGCTGACATGCAAGATCGGAAACAGTATGCTTTCTGCACCTGCGCCGGCAGTGCAGCTCTCCGCTTCAATGGAGCCATTCGACTGCAAGCTGTAGTTGTCCACACCGCCATTCAATGCCAGGCATCCACCACGCTTTGCAGAGCACTTGTGGCAGCTGATTTGTCCATCTGCCTGGACGACACTGCCCCTGTTGACCAGCAAGCCTCCACCAATGTCTGCTGAAGTGGAGGTGCTCATCATCTTTATGCTGCCACCGACTTGGTAAAGACTGCCGCTGTCGATGTAGACACCACCACCACCTGGCGCGAGATAGGGCAGAAAAGTCTCACATCTTGGCGGCATGTGGCAGCTCCATGACTCTGTGCTGCCTACCTTTGAGACTACTGCTTCGCTCTATCTCCAGCACGCCCGAGACGACAGTGAGGTCCTGCGCGATGTGGAGCGCTCCGCCAGCAGACGCACTGTCCTGTACTTCTGGATGCACGCAAGGCATGTCAAGAGACGGGCAGAATGCTCACGTGCGCTTGAGGCTACTGCACTGCCTTGTTGTGGCAATCCGTGAACAGGATGTCAGTTTCATCAGAAGTGCCACCAATTGTGAGAGACCCCTTCACCGTAACACAGGCTTGCTCCATAGGCGACAGTCCAATGAAAGAGATCAGCCCGAGGAACTCGACAGCTCCTGTCTCAGGCAGCAGGAGCCAATCAACATAATGCTGGTACAATTGGATTCTTTCTGAACTCAGTGAAAATGCTCCTTCAACGACCAAGGGCTCTTTGATCAGGACTGTGGCACCTGTGCCCCTAATCTTGCAGTTTCCAACAAAGGTGGAAACCCAGTCGACCACATACATTCCCGTCAAGTCCAGAACTCCATCTGGACAGTCTGTCGGCAGATCAGTAACAAGAAAGTCGCCCAAAACCTCAAGGGCAGAACCTGGCGGCTGCGACTCAAAATTCGATCAGTGCACCACATGACGGCTTTCTCTCATTTCGGCGGCCTTGTTCTGCAAAGCAGGATTTGATACTGCACAGGCCGTGAGAAACAAGGTCACCAGGGACAACCAATGCGCCTGGCAGACAGGTGCTACAGTATGGCGAACTCAGCCTTTCGCATGCCCCGGCCTCCTTTGTCAGCCGTGCATGACTGAAACTCTATGCGGCCGGCGTTCTGAACGAAGTCAGTTCCAACGACAGCTGCACCACCTCGTAGCTGCAAGCACAACAGCGAGAGAGAGGACTGACACTCGGCCCTCGGACCTGAATCTTCCGCATTGCAATCTTTGAACTCCATGGTGCCAGATGCTTCGAGTCGGCGAACTGCCACTGCACCTCGCCAGAGGCAACAGGTGTGCACACTGTCACGCACCACTTTGCAAAAAAATATCAAAGGTGCCACGAAACGCACTCGACACCCGTACCTCCCCGGCGTGCGGTGCATGAAGCGAAGCTCATGTTTCCAGCTGCTTGCTGTTGAAGGTCCCCTTGGAGCTTGATTGCGCCGCCTGGGGACTTGCGTCGTCAGCGCATGTGCGCTTTCCACAACTGTGAAGGGGCGAGTGCCTCTCTGTGAGTTTCATCGGTTCTGAGAGCCGGGCCATCGCCATCTGCATGGCATGCATAGAACTCCATAGTGCCCGAGGTGGTTAGGTTCTTACCAAGAGCCATCGCACCTTCAAAGCGTGCTCAGGTCAAGGACACTTGGCCAGTCTTCAATGACAAGCGTTCGGGCCTCCATCCTCGGCAGCCGTGCATGATCGAAACTCCATGCTCCCGGCATGTTGGATGAAGTCGGACTCAACCTGGAGCCCGCCACCGCCGCCTTCCAGAGCAGTTCAAGGGTCTGAGGAGCCACGATGTGCAAAAGAGCTATCGGGGACGTTGCCAAAATACATCGTAATCAAAAGGGCTGCGACGCCAGACATGAGCCCGGGCCTGCTTTAGCTCTGCACCACGCGAACTCCATGAGACCCGAAGACACCAACTCGCCAAGGCAAGAGACGCCCCCCCCTGGCAAGACATCTTCTCATACCCATATTCCCCGTTCCAGCTACACATGGGCGATGTGGGATTCAACTGGAAAATTCCAACGCACACCGAGCTCTGACCTAAGCCAGCCGAACAGTTCTGCGCGTGGATGGAGCCAGCGATGTTTGCGCTGCCAGTGATGACCATGCATCCCCCACGCTGCGCTGCGAAGCACCCTATGCAGCTGATCTCACCAGCATCCTGCTGAAAGTCGCCAGCTGAGTTTATCAGCAGGCCTCCGCCGAAGCCATCCGACCCACAGTCCTTCAGCACAACCTTCCCACCCTTTTGATGGAGTCCATTTCCGTGAATGTAGAGGCCCCCACCACCTGGCACAAGGTTGCACGGCAAGGTCAAAACCCTGCACGACAGACCCGCCTGCGGAGCTACTGTCCTGGATCATCACGAAGCCGGATCGCATGGTCAAGCCGTTCACCACGTGGAGGGCCCCGCCATTAGACAACTTGTCCTCTCACGATGAAGAGAAACGCCTCAAAAACGCTAGAACCCAAGCTTGCTGAAGCCCTGACTACACAAACCGCCTTGTTATGGCAGCTGGCGAATTGGATGTTGGCATCAGGGCTACGATCAGGTTCACCACCAATGACGAGGTGTCCACGCACAGTCACACAGGCTTGCTTCAAGGGCTGCTTCCCCACGAAGCGTATAGCACCGACCCACGAAATTTTTTGATGTTCCGAACCTGTCAATTCCAAGCTCAATCAGTCACTTTATCCGTCTATCTTGGCAAGGCAGCGAGAAACACAAGACGCCATCAGCCTGGTCTTTGCTCGAAGGTGAGGTGCGCTTGCAGAAAGATGGTTGCACCCTTGGCACCACGTCCCGTCAGGTTGCACCCTCGGATCACCATGTCTTCGTTGACGTCGTACACTCCTTGGAGGTCAATCACGCCACCTTCGCAAGTCTTTGGAAAGGGCTGTGGCGCGCTTTTCTTCGGCTTGTATACCTTGGATGCCATGCACAGGACAGACTCACTTGGCTGGCAGCACCATGGCTGCAGCAACGCACACATGGTTCACAGCGTCATATCTCAATTCCAGGCCAGGCTGCCTCTGGCTCCAGGGCGAAGTTCTCGCCGAGACGTTCGGCGGCAGTTAGCACCGCCAGACACACAAAAAGCAACACCTTGAACATTACGTCCACATCGGAGTCCGGACGGCCACCAAGGCACTCATCTTGGCCCAATAAGACAACGGAAAGCTAGAATTAAGTCAGACTGCCGCCTCGCGAAGAAGCGAGGATTGCTTGGAGCCTCTGGGCACGGCTGCGAACAAAGACATTCCAAGGATAAACACATAAACGTCCGAGTAGCATTTCCAACCTACAATGAAGCATATGCTCGGTTCTGCAAGCCGTGCGTTTATTGGAAGATTAAACCTGCAGCTCTCCCGGCATGTCAGCCACCCAATCAAGTGCCAAAGCATCCGTTCACTGTTCCTGCTTTCGTCGCGTCCGAGACTGGCCCGACACCGCAACATCATCCCCCCACCTGATGGGCAACTTCCTTACTACAAAGTTCCGATGAGGCTTGAAATGCCGACGAAAGAAGTCATTTCCTTGCATCCCACAAATTGACGACGAGTGTTGCAGCAATAAATCCTTTTTGTTGGGCCCGTTCAAGGTTGAAGCCACAAGTAGGTGTGTCGGTTGAGATTGAGCATGTTTTATGTCCAGCAAAACACAATAATCATTTGTTATTGATGCAGGGAAGCACTTCACTGTATCACATGGCATTTCACCTTCACTTCGTGTTCATCCATAACTTGCCATGTTGCGCATTTTGAACTTGCACTCTTGTTTTTATGTCCTTACAAGGGCAGTCCAAAAAGCTGATACTGGGCGAACCCTTACAAAGCAGAACAGCAAAATCTCTCACTTCAGTATGAACACGAAACACAGTTTCTTTGCACAACATTCTGTAGCTCCAACAGCAACAGCAAGCTCCTGGCGGCCAGCAAACCCACGGAGCAGCACAAGTCAATACGACTTGGTGTGCCACTCCGAAACGCAAACGGAAAGTCCGAACTCTGAAGGCGAGATGTCTGCGATTGCTCGGCTCAAACTTCTCAGGCAAGCTGAATGAACCATTCCACGAGAAATCTGCATCATCGTTCTTTTCACCACCGATGTGGTGCAGTCAAGTACCATGCCGGTGATTGAGATCCACATAGACCCCGTTCAAAGAGGTCCAATAACATTTTGTTTTAGGTGGGCTTGCACCGCTCTAGCACATAGCGCTCTCTCTTTTATTTTCCACGGAGCTTTGCTTTATTTCAAAAGGAAGATTCCAATCACAGTATTCCCAAACTATATGGGAAAATCAAAGTATATAAAGAATAAGAAAATTGCTCAAGCAGATGTGGCGCTTTTTCCTTCCGGCAAAGCCGAAGGGGGAAGTCGTGACATCCCCGCACCGATCGATGGCGAACACGAGGATCGCCAACGAACACCCCGGGAGTGGAGGGAGGGACAAAAATTTCCGGCCCTTTGGCCAGGGAGCAGCTACCCACCCATCCCACCCCTGTCTCGAGGCGGCGCGGGAAATAAAAGAGATGAACTCAGACGATTCAAAGCATGCGTTCATGCCATGAAATGTGGTTCAAAATAAAGCAAAGGCGTTTTGAAGACTTCGCAGTAATTTTCAAAACGCTCCTAGGAAAATAAACCTGGTAGAGGCAAGCCTCATGTGTCGCTTATTTTCCACGGAGCTTTGCTTTATTTCAAAAGGAAGATTCCAATCACAGTATTCCCAAACTATATGGGAAAATCAAAGTATATAAAGAATAAGAAAATTGCTCAAGCAGATGCGGCGCTTTTTCCTTCCGGCAAAGCCGAAGGGGGAAGTCGTGACATCCCCGCACCGATCGATGGCGAACACGAGGATCGCCAACGAACACCCCATTCACTTAAGAAGGAGATCAATCGTGGCATTGCCTTTGATCGGGCATCGAGGCGACACTCTGCACACCTGCCCCCTGACTGGAAAGATCGACTTAGCTCTCGAAGGAGGATCGGCCGGGTTGCTTGCACTTGGAACGCGGCTAAACCAAGGGAGCATCGCCTCAGCGTCGCAGCTCTCAAAGATCAGCAAGAGTTGCCTCCACAAAGGGTGTTTTGAAGAGCCTTTCACCAGAGAGGCCAACACTCCGGAGTGATCCACATACATGGTCACCCTCTGCATGTTCAAGTGCTTCGACCACGCTTCTCTCGCACATACCACTGCATACATCTCAACTGGGCCTATCAAATGCCTTTTCCCGAGAGCCTCCCAGCTCTGTACAACGCTCAAAGGGATAGCACATGCAAAGAAGAAAGTGCACCACGCGCCGTTGTCGAAATGGTACAAGACTCCTCCGACAGTGGCAGGGTGAGTTTCATTCGTCGGCTCATACGCTCCATCTGTGAAAATCACAGAACGGCGAGACCCCACACAGGCCGGGACTATCCTAGGGGTACCCCCAAGAACCCGGGACCTAAGATTACAAAGGGCCTGCACAGCCGTGGCATCAAGGGCTTTGGCCTGAGAACTCATCGTGCACGCCCTAAGGTCGGCCAGTGCCAATCTGCCCAATCGCCCGTGCAGCTGACCCTCGGCAAACTGGAGGCGACCGAACAAAGACGGCAGAGTCTTCGGATCAAGGTGGCCTGCACTCAAGACGGAGTCCACCGCCTCAGCAATGGCAGTAGCACGTTCGGGCTTATTCCCAATCTTAACTACCCCAAAGCTACCAAGGTCAACCCGAACGCCTAGAAGTTCGGCCTCATGGCTGAAGGGAAGATCCTTATCTTCTGCCCAGGCGAAACCCAGCAGGTCCAACGCGGCTCTGATAGTCGACTGCGTGTTGTTACAAAGCGGCAAGACCTCTAACACCGGGTAATCGTCGAAGTAGTTGCAGGCGAGCACCTGCAACGCAATCAGAACCCTTTGGAGTAATCTTGCAACGCGATTGAATGAAACCACCGACGAGGTGGCTCCAAACAGAAGGGTTCGGCTCTCGAAGCCAAACGCAAGCCCCGAAACCGGGTCCTTGATGGCCACTATGCTCAGACAGCGGTCTCGTGGAGAAACCGCCAACTGTTTATAAGCACTTTTCAAGTCCACTGTTTTCAAGCTCGGCTGAAGCGCATCGGGCTTCAGGGCCCTCCAGAAAGAATGCACCGGAAAGCGAAGATGGTCACCGTCCGACAAAGGGATGCTCACCTCGCCTTTTGCAATGAAGATCTTGAAGAGGGTGATCGCAAGCCAGACCAATTCATCAAGGGCCCTCAAAGAAATCCGATCGGAAACAGCATAAGCGCAGTTTACAGAGTTCTCGGCCAAATCGTCAATCGACCGCGTCTTGGCTTTTTGCACAATGCCGAACCTCCGCACCGGAAGCCAGCCTTCTGGATGACGGGCTTGCAGCTCGTCCCACGAGTAAGGCCCTGTCAGCCACTCCTTGACTAGCATCTCTTGCTGTGTGGAGTCCCACACTTCCCGAGCTAAATCGTCCACCTCCGCGTTCGCCACCTTCGCCCACAGCGCAGGCCTAAGGAATTTAGCATGCTGCACAAGCTCTGCCCTTGTCATCAGAGCCGGTTTTCTATCCACATCGAAAATGCCAGAAGGACTCGACTCCCCCACTAAAGGAAACCCATGCTTGAGGTGTTCGAAGACTTCAGTGTCAGGCCAACTGAAAGATGATGCAATCTTCTCCAAAAGCAAAATGTTCTTGCCCTTCATAACAGAAGCTACACCAGGATCCATGGCAGCATGCAGATTTGCTTCGGCACCAGCCAAATCGCGTTTCCAAGAAGTCCACTGCTGGAGCAAATTCAGACGGTGTTTCATCACACCAACCGGGCCCTCTTTCAAGGTAAAAGCCAACGCTCTCAACATGAAGTCTGGGACTGCCACGCACAAGTCGAAGGGATGATCGATATGCAATGCCTGAGCCACAAACTCTTGTTCCGTGCGGTAAATGCCAAAGGTAACTGCTGAAGGCACACCTGACAGGCTTCCGACCTGTTTCGCACCGACGACCCCCCGATCACACACAATGCGAAGAAGGCGGGAGCCAGGAGGGATGGACCCTATGGCACATGTGAGATTGCCTTTATTATCCAAAGGAAGGGGCCACGGGAACTCACGGACCGTGGCCTGGCACTTAAACTCGGCGATCTGCGGCTGGAATTTTGACAATCGAGGCTGCCGCCCAGCGGCTGCGACGGCAGAATGTCGCGAACTCTGCAGTGGAACAGCGTGCTCAAGTAAGAGGCCAGACTGGCCAACCGCCAGCTGCAGGAGGCCAGCAAACACATCACAGAATTTGGGTGTGTACAAGACATCTGGTGCAAGCGAGCCCGCAGCATGGGGCCCGGGGCGACAACTACATGCTGGCACCGGCATGCCAGCCAGCGCGGCCTGGGTTGTGCACAGACGCATTCTTACCGGACAGGGAGCCCCGTAGCAACCTGCACAGAAGTCTACGCAATGGAGGGTGTCGGGCAAGTCGAGCTGTTTCCACAGGGCTGACGCCAGGGGATGCAAGACACTCCAATGCGAGTCAGATGCGAGCAAGAGCTTGGCGAGGCGAATGGTTTGCCCGGCGCTAAAAGTAGCCTTAAAACAATCCTTGGTCGCAGGAAAGAAATGCACGTGAAAAGGGGCGTCTTGGCTGATGACAGTCTGCGCAAAGGAGAAACCCGACTCAGTTTCAATGTCCACAGGGACAAGGTGAGTGTGCACTCGCCCAGCGGGGCGAGAATGTTCAAGCGCTATGATTTGGAATCCGTCCCGCCGCACCCGAGCCGACAGCAGCCCGGACCCACACTTTATCTCGACATAGAGAGCAGAACCGGGCTTCAAGGGACTACCAGGGTCGCTCACAGGTTCCTTAGGGCAAAAGGCGGGGACAACCGAAGCGGGCAAGGGCCTAAGCGACTCCTGAGCTGCAGTAGAGGTCAAGGATGGCGGCTGACGATCACACACTTCTGCAGGCGCCAACCGCGCGCCCTCGGGCGCGCATTCCGGAACATCAACATGACACTTGCGGAGAAAGTCAAGATGTTCCTGGCATAGGGACTCGACATGGCGGATTGTGAATGCAACCAGCAAGACTCTACGGCCTTGCCACGCCTCGGTGTAGTGCCAATTGTGTCTGGCATTGAATCGGACAGGGCCCTTTGCAACCTCCAAGCGAGAGCCTCGGGCACCATTAAGGTCGGATACATCCCGACCGTTTTCATGCTCCACAAAGATGGCTCCACCTGAGAATTCAGTCAGTGCAATCGCCAAGTTATGCAAGTTGGCATTCCACTGATCACGATGGCGCTCAGTGCGAACATCCTCGAATATATTTATTGAAGAAAATTTAAACCCCGGTGCACGCTGTCTCACAAACCTTGCAAAGACTTTGAGCGCCTCCGGGTTGGCTGAGGCATTGGCCTTCAAGCCCACATTGCCACCAAGAACATACGCTCCCGTGGCATAAGATTTCGAAGTTGGGAGAGGTGCATCGGCACCCCTCTTCAAGGCATCCGAAGGAAGACCATCGAAAACTCGCAGAACATCGGCGGCACTCACATGACCCTCGTCAAGTGAAGAGCTCGCTGTGCCGCTCTGTGACTCCGCCCCGTCACGGGGCTTCGGGGACCTGCTGCGTGCGGCCTCCACCACACCTGGTGATGGCCTGGCGATGGCACTGTGAGAGCCAACGTTGTGCACGTGATGATCCTCTCGATCAACACCTGATTGCGGACGACAATCCACTCCACTCGGAGGAGAGCCGCCCGCGCATGCATTGCTCGGCCGATGAACTCCCTCTCGGAGATCATCCACCTGCGCGGTCCTCGCTGCCGGCTGATGCACACTCTCTGGAGCACCGGCCGCCGGCGAAGCACCCTCGAGACCAGCTTGTCACGAGCCACCCTGAGCCCGCTTTGGGCACTGCGCTGCACCATGGTTATGAGCACCGCACTTAGGCACTGCACAGATGTGCAAGCCCTTCTCGCACTTCTGCCCCTTCGTCGAGCAGCCTCCCAGGTTGAAGGCAAAGCAGATTGGGTCCCCACGATTAGTGTGGGACCTGCAGCCTTCCAAGCCGGCGGGCAACCTTGTCATGAACCTCTGCTTACCTTTCTTTCCTTTGCCCCCACCTTTGGTGTAAGGAGATGGCCTCTCCCACTTGGGAGCATCCGGCTTCTGGGGAACATCCTTTAGGACAGGGGCCGGTAAAGGTTGCAATAAGCATGACACCTCGTTCATGTACATCGCATCCGGCAGAAGTGTGTCCAACGGGCGACCCGATGCGACGGTCTGCACTCCTGCCCTGGTCTTATCACGAAGCTCGGCAAACAGCTGCCGATCCGCCGACTCAAGCTGCTTCCAAGTGGGCCTGACAAAATGCTCCGCAGGCGTCTGCATGCGAGCCTTCATCAAGCGCTGAGTCCATTGGTCGGAGACACTGAAATCGATCAGGTTTGCCTGGTCCATGGCCAGAGACCTCCTCGTGAGGGCCTGCTGAACAAGAATCTCTGATGAAGTATCCGCAACCAAGTCAGGCTGCTTATGCTCAATCCGAAGCTTGCCAGAGGACTCTTCGACCGTGAACCTAACATCTCGCTTCTTCTCGCCAGCCAATTCAGCTTCCTTTGACACACACCGGTCCCACGGAATGTACCTGAGCTCATTCGCCTCGTAGGAGGCCACAGCAAGGTCGACAAGTGCATCGGCAGGCTCCAGAGGCCCCTTTAGCGAAATTCCGACAAGCTTCTTTGCCTGCCGCTCGTAACGCTCAGACCTCTCAGGCTGCGACAATGGCCTGACAGTCGACTCGGGATCGGCCTTCTCGATCCGCTGCTTCACTTCCGCGGTCACAATGGCATAAGCCTCATTGTACACCGCACGCCAATTGGCCTTGTCTGCGATTGTCAGATCTCGTTTCAGGATATCCTTCAACACCCGCATCAAAGGCTCCTCGTCTGTCTGGCCAGGGGTGAAAGAAGAAATGAAAGCCAGCCTCCTCAAGTTTCCCACCTCAGGCAGAATTTTCAGGACATCTCCTTCCGCGAAACCCACGACGCTCAATCGTGACTGCAGAACCGATTGGCTCTCAGAATAGTTCGCCATCTTCAGGAGAAGGACCCGGCTAGCAATCCGCTTAAAAGTCACATGAAGTATGTCAGCATGTTCTAATGCATACACAATGCGACGCGTGAGCTAGACTCCGGCCGTCCAGTGTTAGCGCAGACTCTAAAAGACTGAGCCGACTCCTCGGAACAACGATGCCTTGTTCTAGTGCACATCACTCACGACCCTCGCATTCACTCAAGCAATCGCATCACTCAGCTCAGGAATCACGCTCCAGACACTCAGAAATCACCCTTCTTTTCTACAGCATCTCCTCGGCATCACTTCTTAGGTGGACAGCAGCTCCTACACAACGGAAACAAAATTCGCGGGACGGAAGACAGCCTACACACCTGGTTGAGATGCTCCTGCCACATCTGAACTTGTCGCCTTCCTCGGACGCGACTGCATGAATGAAACGGCCGTCTTTATTCCTGAACAAAGGGACTGCCTCAAGCTCGGCCCGCAAGCCTGCATCGGGCTCCCATTGCCTCCCCAGCTCATCGGCGGCGGCCTCCGCAGCTTCATGATCGACATCCTCGGCATCCTCGCTAGCCTCGGAAGAAGAATCCGACAGAACCTCGTCAGGAGGAATGGGCATCCCCTCTGGATCTTCAAAGCGCTTCACGAAGTAACCGGACCTGGTGGCATCCGGCATGAACCTTTCGCGTGACACTTCGAGCAGGACCTCTTGCAGCCGGCGCACAGGGGCAGACATGTTGTCTCTCCCATAGATGATCTCGGTTCCATCACGGCCCCTGGCGTGATAACCAAGGGCCGCCCTCACCTCGCGGGCTAATCCGAATTTGGCGCTCCAACTCAAGGTCGTCGCCTTGAGACTGTGCGTCCCAAGCGGTTCAACGGAAGACCTGTCGCATCCTGCACGGATCAAGAGTGACTTCATCCATTTCGTGGCACTTGCCACCGCCAACGGCGCCGTTTGCCACCCTCCTCCAGAGAGCGGACTCGGAAGCAAGGGCTTACCCGTCCCCAAAGGAGGCCCATGCACTTCATAAAACTCAAACCACTTGACACCCCAGGGCACCTCGCCTATTCCCTGGATGGGAGCGAACATGTGCAAATACCTGACCTTTCTTTCCAGTGAAAACGAAGTTTTGCTTCGCTCAACAGCAGCCTCAAGGTATCCCACAACGCCATCTGGAGTATCGCTCAAGTCGCAAGTCATTGCACCTGCAGCCTGGGCATCTGAGTACCTCGCTCGTGCGTAAAGGGTCCAAACAAAGAAGCCGGCAGCGACCCGATCTGCGGGTTCGAGATCGATCGAACCAGATGCAATGGCTTCCAACTTGCGCACATGATCAACTTTAAGAGCTGGCTTCCGTCGAGTCTTTCTCTTGTCAAGATATAGCTTCGACGACAGCCCACGGACCCTGGGGCTAAAGACTTCATCACTCACCTTCAAGCTCACAGTGAACTTTGCAAAAGCGAGGCTGCTCAAGAAGCTCCTTGCGAAAGTGGGCGCCTCGTGTGATGCATAGTCTTGAAGGAAAGCATAGACCCCGGCTTCGGTGACAGGGAAAGGATTGACCTGGCGACCTCGGCAATGCTTGACGTACCTGGCTAGAGGCCCGGCACGACCTGAGATTGTGACGCTCGCCTTCTGAGAAAACACATCTTGCAATGAGGTCTTCAAGTCGGCATCTCGCCCATTTTCCCGGTCTAACCGAATCGACAAAGTCAAACCAAAATCCTCGGGGAACCTCTCAAGAATCCCAAGCCACTTTGCCAAAGCCGCCTCCCTTGCTTCGGAGAGTTTTTGATCCCAGCTCTGCCCCGGTGCATTCGGGACCCTCACTCCTGCAAGCCTGAGTGATTCAAGCTTTCCTGAAGACGACTTAACCGGCCCTGCAGGGACGGCCGGCCCCACAGGCATTGACACTATGCTCCCACCTTTGGCGTAAGGTGAAGGCAAAGCAGGCATGTCAAGAAAAGCAGAAGATACTTCCCACGGCATCTTAACTGCGTTTCCAATCCCTCGGGATGCCACACGAGTCGATGACACACAGTGACTCTCATAAGCCCCAAGCACTCGAGCCCTCTTGAGGCTACTTTCAAGAGAGTCACCTCCCGACATGCTGGCTGCAGATCGGCCTTGTCAAGCCAGCATGGCCAACGCTACTCCCCACTTCTACAAAAATTTCCGGCCCTTTGGCCAGGGAGCAGCTACCCACCCATCCCACCCCTGTCTCGAGGCGGCGCGGGAAATAAAAGAGATGAACTCAGACGATTCAAAGCATGCGTTCATGCCATGAAATGTGGTTCAAAATAAAGCAAAGGCGTTTTGAAAACTTCGCAGTAATTTTCAAAACGCTCCTAGGAAAATAAAGCTAGTAGAGGCAAGCCTCATGTGTCGCTTACCGTATTGGATCTGTAGGCTGTGCGGCTAGCCTGAGAGGGACTAAGGCTGCAGGGCAGAGTCGGTCCAAAGAAACCCCCCAGGCTAGGCTTTGTGAGAAAACGAATGAAAAGGCATGCATTCGTCTTTTTTGTTTGTGGCTATGCCTGAGGCAGCTTCTGAGAGCGTGAAACCGTACTGTAGTGGAGTGGCCAAGGCAGGTTCAGGCTGCTGAACACCATAATGCAGAGGGCAAAGGTAGTTTCCGAGTCCGAGGCGGTCGGCCTTTGAAGGGCGGTGGCCGAGGCGGCCCCCCGGCGTGAAACAGCAGTGTAGGCATTCTGTGAGAACTTAGTGAGGCTTTGGTCAGTAGACGGCATGGGCGAGGTCGGCGTAGAGGCACCTGGGCAGCAGGGGTTCGGGCGGGAAACCCAAAGGGTTCGGGCCTTAGGGGCGAGCAGCTTGAGGTCGACGACGTCGAAAACCTGAGCAAGGCAAGACAAGGCAGCATCAAGTTCAGAATACGCAGGAAAATTGCAGAAGAGGCTTCTGGCAAAGAAGGCAAGGACCTGAGGCAGGACCAGGCGAGGTTGGCTTGTGCAACCGGGCAAGCTAGGCAGTATCCGGATGGCTTTGCCCATCGACACTTGAAGCCCCGAGAGCACGTCTATGGAATAGAAGGCGCGTGTACCTGTCCAGGCGACAGCTTTGAGGCGTGGGTGGGCGGGTGAAAGTTTAAAACCTTTTACCAAGGTCAACTTCTAAACCTTGTCAACACGCGGGCGGCCCACACTCCGCTGGGATTGAGCCGTCGTTTGACCTACGGAGACACGCAGTGAAACATGCTAAATTGGGCATACCAACTAAAGCCCTCATCGACTCAGGTTGTATTGTAACACTTTCTACCATCCACTTCACCATTGTCTGATGCTCACTCAGAGCCTTGCCATTTATCGCACGCTCTTGTTGAACATCTTCTTCATTTAACTTAACTTCGTCATCACCTTCTTTCTGCTTGTCGTGGATGTCGTTGACTTCAAGTCCTGTAAGGAAAACTGTTGTGAAACTGTTGACTACAAGCTTTACGGCTTCTAAAGCTCACGATTCACGCTCACTTTTTCGCGGAAGTCGCGGTAGTCGTGGTCGTTGTCGTTGAAACGACTAGCTGCGACTAGCTTTGAAACACATCGTTGTGCTTTGTCGTAGACTGGTCGAACCAATCGTCACTTTTGCACGGCCTTCTATTCATCCGTGGCTTATCGTTAGCATCTGCAAGCAAGCATACAGCTTTTCTCGCATGCTAAGTGAAACTTCTTTGCGCCCTCACAGTTCAGCGCTTTCCTTGAAAAACACTTGCTTTTCCTCGCTGGATGTTTGCCGTGGCGCGGACTCCACGTTTCCACGATATCCTTTCTCGCATAGGCGGACTTTTACTTTCACCTAGTACAGGTGCTCACTTCCTTCGCTCTCTTTCTGTCCCCGCTTCTCGGGACTCTCCGCTTTCTTTTTCTTCTCTGTTTTCTTCCTTTCATCTTTCTTGTCTTTCTTTCGATCATCCTTCTTCTTGTCGCTTTTCTTTTCCTCTTTTGTCTTGGTGCCTTTATTCTCATCTTTCTTCTCTTCCTTCTTCTCGTGGTCCTTGCTCGAACCGGCACCACTTTCTCCCCTCTTCTCATCTTCTTTTCCTTTATCATCTTTCTTCTGCTCAACGTCATCATCAATCTTGATCACCTTTTCTTCAGGCTTTTTCTTCTTCACAACTTGCTCTTGACCCCAACTTGGATTGGGCCTTTTTTCCTTATCCTCTCGTGCATCATAATCCTTTACCTCGTCCTTCCACCAGCAGGTGTCGGGAGAGTGTGCTCCCCATCCCGTCATTCTCTGACGGGCAAGTTCCAGGGGAAGGTTCTGTATGTATACCTGACGCACGTAGCAATTTCTACACCACATGTGTCTTGGTTTAGCGCGGTCGCTTTCATCCGGCAAAAAGCCGCACTCTTTCTTTGCGTCAGCCAGCATATCCTTGCAGTAAGCACTCTTTGTCTTCGTCGTTTGCAATAATAGCAAACTGCTGGTGATTCATTTCGCCACCACGGCGTTTCGCCTTCTTTCTTTCGTGGCGTGCCCGTTGGCTCGGCAGGTCTTTCGCTGCCCTTTGCTGCTACTGTAAACTTGTCATCGAGTCTTTTCCTTAACTCTTCAACCTTCCGGGTAGCATCTTCATCTTTACTCTCCTTTTCAGCTACCTTTGCTTCGGCGATTGGCCTTGGCATCTTCTTCTCTTGGATAATCCTCTTTTCATCTTGCATCTCGCCTCCTTTCTTCGGAGTTCCTGCGCTTGCTGTGCTTCTTTTTCCCGGCGTTCCAGCTGCCGATGCTGCTTCACCTGTTTCTTTCTTCTTTGTAGCCATTCCGGTCCAGACTTTCGTCTGGCAGTGTCCTCAGGCGTTCCAGGTGCGGAAATGCATTCAACAGTTCACCGATACACATCTGGGTGTTACCGACTATCTCCGCAAAAGCCTCAATGCACTGCTTTGATCGCATCACCTGGTCCACGTGCGTTTTCGAGTCTTCCAACTCATCTTTCAACGTTTCCATCTCTTTCCTCCTTGCTTCGAGCTTCTGCTCCATTTCCTTCTGGAGCTCCATCACGTAGCTGGCGTAGTTAGCTTCCATTGCTTTCAGCTCCGTTTCAGCACGAACTTCATCTTCTCCCAGTACCGTCAACGATTCTTCGTGCTCTTGAGCTACATCAGCTAGCTTCTCTTTCAAACTGCTTAGCTTCATCAGATATCCGGCTGGTAAGTTAGCAATGGGTCTTGTCACGACCTCGCGAAGCACGATGAACTCCCTTACGAGGGGTTCTGTAGGAAGTCCTTGTTCTACCACTTTTGTCTTGATCTTCTCCGACACGGCTTCCCAGATTGAATCTGCTGCTGGATCGAAACCCTGCTTCAGATCCAGTACGCTTGCTCCTGTGATCTCTCCTTCGCTATCCTGCTTCATCTCGACATCGGTACCCTTGGTCTCTGCCGCTTGATCCTTTTCTGCTTCCTCAGCCTCTGTGGTACCCTTGGTCTCTGTTGCTTGCTCTTTTTCTTCTTCCTCAGCCTTTGTGGTCTCCTCGGACTTCTTCTTTTCTTCACCAGCTTCATCTTCCTTCGCAGTAACTTCTCTGGCCGCTTCCACCACTGCTTTCCTTCTCTCGCTCGCTGCTTCTCCTTTCTGCTTAAGCTCTTCCACTTTACCTGCCATTATGGCTGCTTGCTCAGCCTCGTCTTTGAGTTCATCTCCGTTCTTCTTGAACTCCGGCGGTACTTCAACTTCTTTCTCTTCAACTTTTTCTTCTTTCTTTTCTCCTTCTCCTTTCTTCTCGTCACCGCTTGAGCTTTCGTCATCTTCTCTTTTCTCCTCGCTCTCACTATCTTCCGGCTCTGTGCCGGCCTCGCTTTCTTCCTTCTTTTCTTCATCATTCTCAGCAGTTTCCTCCCGTGGGGGTGTTTTAGCATCTTCTCTCAACGTGTTCAACTGCTGCACTTCCTTCCAAATCTCCTCTATGCTCTGGCGGTCTTCGCGTTCCCGCTTCAATTGCTTCTCGCAGAAACTTACAGCTTGGATGCTTCTGCATTCGTCGCGGATCATCACCTTAACAGCTTCGTCGTCCGCCATTTCGTTTACTCTTTTTCTTTTTCTTTTACCTTCTTCCTTCTTTCTTCCTTTCTTCAGCTCTTCCTTGTGCACTTCTTTCTTCTTCAACTTGTTCTTCCTTGGCCTCGCATAAGCTCATCAACACTCCAGTCGTAACTGCTTGAAATATCCTTGTAATCATCTTCTCATCGAACTTCATCATCTTTCCTCTCTTTGCGCTTGTTCTTCTCACCAGATCATCTTGCACTTCTTGTACTTCGTCATCAAGAAGTTCACCTACATAGCCCAGTATGACCATGTATTTCTTTATTTTGTCGAGTGACAGGGGTTTGGTCCCTAGGTCCGAGGGGTTGTTCTTACCCGCTATCGCCTTTATGATAAGCTTCGGGATGTGTTGTATTCAGAGGTTGTCGACGTCTAAATGACGCGCCTTGCCCAAACCTTTTCTCGAAATAAGCTGCCTTGAGCTTGACGAATCTGAAAACGATCCTTTCCAGCAATCCTTTCAAGAACACTGCTTCAGACAATATCGAAGTTGCTGCCATTGTCTCAGCTTCACACGAACTTAACACAATGCTCTTCTGTCTCTTGCTCTGAAAATGAATCAAATCTCCGTTCAGCATGATCGCTCCACAGGAAACACTCTGCCTCGTCTCTCGATCTGCTGCCCAGTCAGAGTCCGTTATCACTTCAATCAGGCTTTGCTCTTTGTAAACATCTCTAACACCTTCTTGTGTTCCTTTGTTCCTTTTCTCAGAAAAACTCTTCCCATGGTAACTTCTCTTGTGTACCAGTGTCAACTCTGGGTTACCCTTCAAGTACTTTGCTGTATACCTCAACATCCATGTCAGCTTGTGCTGGCGCTGCCAGTTTCGTCGATAACTTCTTAAGAACATACATGATGTCTGGCCTCTCTGGTGCCAGATACAATAGTAACC